GTTGATATAACCTAGATTAGAGATGATGCAGTTTGAGTGTTTTGTGTTCTGATCATCAGTTTTTATTTGTTTTGTGTGTTGATTTGAAATCCTACTGTGAAGTTCTCATGAAAATGTTGCTTAGAAACATTTTTTGGATGCATGTTCATTTTTTGGCTGTAATCTGATTGCTTGTATTCTGTGTGTGTAGTTGTAATAAAAATGGTTTTCGTTTACGGCAGATGTTTCCACTGCTTTTTCCTATAGAGCACGGGACATTTCAGCGATAACACATTTCACGCATAGAGCTGGTGCTCTAGCTCACAAAAGAAATCATGCATGAGAATAGAGCATCTCGCTGCAGCGCAGAGCAGGGTCCTGACCTCTGACCTCAGACTCTAGAGTAGATCCTTCTTTAATGGCTGGTGATTATGACTATGAACCTGATGCCCTTCAATAGTCTGGGAAGGAAAAAAGTTAGCAAAAGCTTACATTTTGTGCTGGAACTTTCAATCTCAAACATTTGACTCACTGGTTTTCTTTTTGAGCTTTACAATGTCAGAATATTCTAAATATAATCATCTGATAACAAAAGGTTTCTCTTTTTTTGTCACATAACAATGTTTTCAAATCAGACACCGGAAATACCAAATTCAGTTTGAGGATTACATTTGAGGCCTAGTCCACACGCAGCCGGGTTTTTCTAAAAACGAATATCCGTCCCTCCAAAAACTTGCATCCACACCACCTCGTTTTAAAAACTCTGTCCACACGTACCCGGATAAATACGTTGTTAAGGACATGCCAGACCTGTAGGCGGCAGTACTTCCCCCGTTCTTAACCTCGTCCTTCGTCTGTGGTCTTCCGCAAGGAGCAGTAATTCCGCTTGCAAAAACAAACAAGCAAAAAGCGCTTGGACAATTGATAAAGCGAGCGCAGCTCTGAGGGCATCCATGCTGTCGGCTAGTGTAAACACAGGTCGCACACGTGATGTCAGCATTTTTGTGTCGCGGAAAGTGACGTTGCGGTCCTTAAAACTCCGGTTTTGTCCGTCCACACGCAGACACCCAAAACGGAGAAAACGCAGATCTTCACTTTGGCCGGAGTTTTTAAAAAGATCCGTTTTCGTGTGAAAAAACTCAGTTTTCATGTGGATGACAGGCCAAAACGTAGAAAAATATCTACGTTTTGGCAGATCCCCGGCTACATGTGGACAGGGCCTCAGAAGATAAAAGTTAAGAGCCAACCTGACCTGTATACGAAGAAAGGAAATGTTCCCTAAACCTGACATTTGGTCGAGACACCCTTGGATGCAACAACTGCAAGCTTTTGTGATGAGACTCAGAAGTCTGGAAAAAAGCTCCACTCTTCTTCAGATAATTGTTTAATTCAGATTCAGAGGCTTTTCTAGCATGGCTGGCCTGTTTAAGGTCAAAGGTCAACCATTTACCAACAGTTTCTAGTAGAGAGCAGCATTCGTAATTCAATTACAGCAAGTAGTCCAGGCCATAAAGCAGCTCCAGACCATCACACTACCACCTCCATGTTTTACTTGGTAGGGTGTTCATCTGAAATACAGATGTAATCAGACCTTACAAAAGGTCCACGTTGGTCACATCAGGCCACAGAACATTTTTCCAGACGTCTGAGGGATCATCAAGATGTTATTTGGCAAATCTGACAATGTGAGATAGAGGTTTTGGTCACGGAACTCCAATGGATGCACCTCTCCACTCCCATTTTGTTCAATCATGACCTCTTAGCTAAACCTAGGTTGTCCATGGCTCTTTTAATAATAATAATAATAATAATAATAATAATAATACATCAAACTTGTATAGCACTTTTTAGGACACTCAAAGACGCTTTCATGCACTCTCACATTCACACACTGCCAGTGATGGTCAGCTACTACGTAGCCACAGTCACCCTGGGGAGGTCTGACAGTGGTGAGGTTGCCGTTTGGCGCCGTCGGCCTCTCTGACCACCAGCAACACAGGCAAGTAGTTTGTTCTCAGCTTTCTTGAAAACGATTTATGGAGGGTTGCTTTTTGAGATCTTTTAGCTGTGTTTCATGCTGCGATTAAAGGGATTTCTTTGTTTGATTGCAGTCGTGTCTGTGGTTGGTAAAACTAAACTAAGCTCTACTGTATGTGACTAATCAAACTTCGTGACTCAACAGGGGAACAATTGCCTTTTCACATGGTCAGGTTAGTTTGAATCAGTTTGTAAATGAAATCATTTAAAAACTGCATTGTGAGCTAACTCAGACGATCTCTGTTCAAGATAGAAATTTGTTTGAATAGAGTTGATTTAAAATCAAAGACATCTATCAGGGTACAAATTATTTTTCACAGTGCTGTATTTCATCTCATCGCTTGTGTCCATGTCAGTGTCCTCAGGCCCCTTCAGTCAAATCTGTGCATTTCAGTTTTCACTTGAAGGCAGACATGGCTGGATGTGGTTGCCATGGTGACTGATGCCTAGGTCTGTGTGTGTATGTGTGTATATTTGTGTGTACACAGGACCTAGACAGGCCCTACAGACTGGGCTAAGGCGGGTCCCGTGGGAGCAGACCAGACAGGACCTCGTTGAAAGTCTCTTTTCATTTAAGGAGGAAGACATCACAGCTGTTCCAGGCTTAGTCGACTCCTCCGTTCAGAGGATATAAAAACGAAGGCAAAAGCTCTGTTAGGGGCGGCACAAGGAAAGGCTCTCATATGGTGACTTTGAGACAGCCAGCTGTGGAAATGAGCCTTTTTATGCTGAATGTTTTCTTTCAAAAACCACAAAGGTCTCCCGGCTTTTAAGTGGTCCAGTCTGCTTCCCCTTCTGGTGGCTGCGTGGGGAGCTGCATGACAGGGTCCTGACATGATAATGAGGGAGTGTGTGTGTGTGTGTTCAAAAGATGACATGTAGGTGAAAAACTAAAGAAGTCCTTAGAGCTACACAGTAGAGGACATTTTATCAGCTTTCAAACAAAACACGAGCTACAGAATTACATGATTTTTTTTTCAAAAATAGATCCAAAATAATCTTTTTTGTAACATTTTTTTAATTACAAAAAAAATATTTTAATTATTAAAGACTCAGAACAAAAGCTGGTGAAGAGTTTGTCAAAAACAAACAACAAATCATACACAGAACAAAAGAATACTGGTGATACATTCACATTGAAAGAACATCACAGAGAAACTTGGATGTGTGGTGCAACCATGGATGTAATTTTGGGGTGGGACGGGGGGACATGTCCCCCCCACATTTTACAAAGTCAAGTTTTGACCCCTGCACTTTTTACCATCCAAAAACAATATTACGCTATATTAAATTGACACTGGTTGAGCTCTAGAACCAAGCGGAAAACAACCGTTTGTGTTGAAACCTGTTTCCCATTAGAACATACTGTAAAGATACCCCCCACCCCCCGTCCCCCCCACTTCTAAAGTGAAAATTACGTCAATGGGTGCAACAAACATTAAGTGTTTCCATATCTGCACCTAAAGTCCTGTTGAATGAAGCCCTTATTGATTTATTATTATTATTATTGTTGTTGTTGTTGATGGTGTTGTTGATGTTATTATTATTATTATCATAGATAGATATAATAAATACTTTTTAATCGAGTCCCGAATCGTGTTTGAACCAAACATAGGTAGTTGTTCATGAATTGGTGAAGAAAATAGAAAAACAAACCGAAGTTCTTTTGTACATTAATTCCGTGTTTATCTTCAGTATCCTTTTTTTTTTTGTTCCTTTTTTACACAAGTTGTTACAAAATAGTTGTTTTTTTTTACTTGACATGTTTCAGCTAGTCTCTCTAGCCATCATCAGAGATCACCGGTGTTGGTAGAGGGCGACACCGTCCTCTGCCGCTCGCGGATAAAAGGAAGTGACGCCACCAACACCAGCAATCTCTGATGATGGCTAGAAAAACTAGCTGAAACATGTCAGGTAAAAAAACAAACAAACAAAAAAAAACTAGTTTTTACTAAACTTTGTAAAAAAATTAACAAAAAAAATAGATAACATACTAAAGTTGTACAAATAAAAAATCACACGAGATATTTTACTGCAGCATATGCAACTTAAATATCATGTTGTGGGGTGGGTGCTTTTCTCTAGCAGTCAATTAGTGATGTGTCGGTCGCGAACGAACCGGCTCTAAGAGCCGGCTCTTTGAAGTGAACGACGGGAGCCGGCTCGTCATTGGGAGCCGTCCCCTCCCCTCCCCCCTCCCCTTTTGCTTTGGTGAAAGCCACAGGCGATTGGTCAACACATGTAACTGCGTGTCCAGACTGTCCACACACAGAGCAGTAGGGGCGGGGAAGAGGGAGGATCAGACTCAGACACACAGCAGAGCACATGTGGGTGGAGGGAGACGAGAGGGAATGAGGAGGAGGAAAAAGGCGAGCGAGAGAGAGGAGAGTGCGACGAAGACGGTGAGAAAATGTGCGTCAGCATTCGGAAAGTGGAGATTTCTGAAAGTGTTCAGTTATTAAATCCATAGAAATGATAAATATTTGATATATAGCATTTTTTTTACATTAGTAAATCATTTTACACATAGTTTTGCATTATTTTGGTTACAAATGTACTCTACGCAACAGAAAATCTGAGGAGCCACTTGGGAGCCGAAAGAGCCGGCTCTTTTTGGTGAGCTGAGCCAAAAGAACCGGCTCTCTAAAAAGAGCCGGAATTCCCATCACTACAGTCAATGCCTGAGATGCAGGACACGCCTCCAACAGGTCTCCAATCATTTCCTGATTATAATGAATTCAGTTATATTAACAAAAGCGTTGAGCAAAAGCAGTTTATGCTGCTGAAATCAAACCAAACTAAATTCAAACACCTGTGTCTGTTGCTGAGTCAGGGATAGTCATCAAGCAGCAGTATTGCAGCGTACAGAGAAAACATGGCGACCAGTATTTGGAGTTAAAGTCAAAGCTTTAAAATTAAAACGCTAAAAATAAACAAATGTCTGAAGCAAAGAGACAGTTCTCTTTTATATTTGTCTTAAACTAACATGTTGAAAAAAATCTCTGAAATCAGTTTTATTTAGTGAAACGTCTTTTCCTTCTGCGAGTAACAGACACACAGCTCTACTTCAAATAAATAGTAATTCACAAATCCCTGCCTCCAAATTCAAGAAGAGCAAAGCTTTTGCATTCAACACTCTACCAGATAATTACCGAGACATTTTTAACTTGTTAAAATAACTTTTTCTTTAATCTTTCATCATTGCAAACACTTTTGACTTGATCTTCTCACCGAATGAAAGCCAAGAGTTCATGAGACTCTGCTTAAGTAAGTTCAGGACACGTTTTGATCCTTTTACAAAGAGGAAACTGTGTGTATTGTTCTTTATTTCTGTTCCGTTTACCTTTTAAGGCGGACTGGAACAAGATTAGAACCTTTAACACACACATGGGGAAAGGTTTGCGGGTACGTTCTGGAGAACCTCGTGTGGTCCCGTTTGGCTGCTGCAGCTGAATTTATAAAGCAAAAAAGAAAAATATGAATTTCAAATGTTATGTTTTACCACACCTACTGGAAATAAAGCACACGTCTTTATGCATCCAGCTCCTCTTAAAGCAAGTGATGCATGGAGGACTTCTCCACCAGCCAGGAGAGACCAGCTCTGTACGAGGAGAAAGAGGCGTCCCACTCTGAGATGTGGGAGACACATCTGAATTTACTGGTTTTACTGGCAGCTGTTGAATGGGAGGTGGTGGCAGACTGGAGCAGTTGGCTATCTCTGCCAGCCGTCGCTCATCTCTAACTGCCTCAGCCCTCTTTCCTCTGCATCTTGAAGGTAGCTAGTTTTGTGAAACTCCTTTGTCTGATTGGCTGGATGGGATTCTGGAGGGGTGTGGCAAGCTGCATCCGTGTTGCTGGTTGGAGAACGCTGCCTGTTCAGGTGATGTAGGGGAGGGGAGGTGGGCGAGGACATGTGGTCAGGAGAGCTGCGCTCCGATTTGATGCTGAGGTTGAAGGAAGGCAGATGTGAAGAGTTAGAGGAGCAAGACTGAGTGAGGAAGGAGCACCCCCCGCTGGACATCCTGGGAACAACAGGAAAAAAGGAAAATGATTTTATTTTGTAGGATTCTTTAGATGCTGCTGAAGACAGATGTGCACAGCTGTTTCGATTCACAATGATTTTCTGACTTTTTTTATAATTAATACAAACTGTAGCACAATCATTTTAAGATAGCAACAATAAATGCTTGAATAAATAAACTGAATTATAAATGCTAAATTGTAGCAGAGTTTACAAAAATCTCAGAAAATAAATATTTACACTTTGTTAAATTTCTGTTTGTTGTACAGGTCAAAATGTTGGAACACTGCCAGAATTTTATTTCACATTAATTTAGACAAATGAGAAAAAAATCTGCATTTGGGAAACACTTTACAAAAAGGGACTTTTTATTACTGTTACTTAGTGTGCTATTTTTTATTTATTTTTCCCGCATCCTGTCTGGCTGTGAAGCAAACATAATTCATGTCTGAATGCTGGTGACAAGCCTTACAGATTTACCCTCAGGTGGAACACCAAAGTGTCGTCATGCCTGACACTTAAGACTTTATTGTTAATGTTTTTGGATGCTTCATCACTCTGACCAGACACGGAGACAGAAGTAAAAGAGAAAGGACGAGACAAAAGGAGGGGCAAGGGGGTTTCACAACAATAAACAATCAATGATGAACAAGAGTCTGCTTCTAGACCTGCAGAAAGAGAAAAACAACACACAACAATACAACAAGAGCAAGCTATCACTGCGTCAACCTGATGAGGAAATGTAAAATCAACATTGTTTTACTGAACAATCACACGATAATAAATCACAGTGCATTTAGTGGCAACCACAGCCTTAAGTTCATACTTATGAGAGCACCATGTGAGCACCTGTGTGTGTACACGCGCTTGTATACGTAAGGTTTCTCTATAGGAGCATCCAATAGTGAGTGTGAGGGGCGTTATTAATTGTTAATAAACAAAGGATCATTTTATTAACGTTCCCGATATTGATAACTATTAAATGTCCTAAAGGTTAGGTCAATGCATCACTTAATATTAACACGAATATCAAGCAGTTTGTAACCATTTATTCATTAAGTGCTTAATAATGCACTAAGTAACGCTAATAAAGGGACCTTTATTGTAAAGTATGACCTGCATTTGTTTTTGCTCGTAATTAAACGTATGAACTGCATGGCTTTTAAAGTTAAATATCTTTGGTAATTTCCTGCTCATTTAGTACACTAGAGCGTCTATCTAACGTTTATAGTTGTTTGCCTGAAAGCAGGGGCGGCGTTAGGCCCGGCTACTTGGGCTGAAGCCCTGGATGTTTCACGAAAAGCCCCGGATCTAAATCGCAGAAGTAACATGCAGTACCAAAGTCCAACAGAGAGGGAGCAGCTGGCAGTAGTTTGTATACAGCCTGCCTGAGCCTCCACCACTGAAGAAGAAGCTCTTCAGCAGCCGGCTTCTTCTTCAGTGCCTGTTTTTTCTACACTCTGCCTGAAACGCATGAGTGAAGATGGACATAAGGACGTTTTTTAGACCAAAAGTACAACGACAGAACCCCAGCTTTGATGAGACTGGTGTTGACTCAGGTTTGTGAGTCTTGTTTGAAAATATTTGTTGTGCTGCTGGTTTGCCTAAAGTTAGCTTACTATCAGGTAAAGTTCTTGGAGAAAGAAAGGGAATATTTACTATCATCTCACACTAAACACTAACAGGAACAATACTCTGCCCTGAAAATGCTTAATATGTAGCTTCAGATTAAAAAGTATGTGGTACTAGGCATATATGATGTTGACTAGTGCGTATCACGTGTGTGCGCGTGCGTGCGTGTGTGTGTTAAGCCCCGGATCTTCTTCAGTCCTAAATCCGCCCCTGCCTGAAAGTAAAATAATTGACGATTGAGCGTTTCACTCTGGTTCTACTTGTCCGTCTTGCTTCTGGTCCTTTGTATTTAAAATAAAAGGTTTTCATAGATGTTTTTGCATTTTGTTTGATGAAGATTTCACCTTCAGCCAGCCTAAAGTCAAATATCAACATGGAGGCTTGTGAACAGAGGAAGCAACAAGTCATGTTCTTTTTTCCTCCTTCAGCTGGTTTGCCCCACAGCTGATTGCTCTCGGCCTTTCATCCTCCGATAAAAGATTCACCAACAGTAACGGCCTAAACTGTCAGACCAGCTGGAAATGCCTGCTTCAAAAAAACGATGCATATATTTTTAGCGAACACATCACCGCTGGTTCTGACAACAATGTTTCTGATCACCTCTGGACTCTTCGGTCATCTATAAACAACCTGATGCTAAATCTCCTCTCCTCCATCACAGAACGCAGCCTGTCAAAGTTGACCTCATCACTGTTCTAAATGTAGTTAATGCATCATTCTTCCTGTTTGTCTTACTTGCTTGCAGAGCTGCAAAATTTTTTTCTATTCTGAGCTTGAATGACCCAATCTATCAAGCATCACATCCTTAAACACCATACTGTTAGATTTTGTCGTGCTTATAACTCCCAGAAACATAAGAACACTAAAAAAGAAACATCTGTGCAACATAAGGGTTGTTGGTTCAGTCTTCTGCAGAAGGGATTACAACATTACGCCAACACGTAACCTGCTTACCCTGAGCTGATATGAGGCCCGTGAGACTCGTGAGGCGTTTGTGCTGGTTGCCATGGATTCATCACTCCTCTTTGTAAACTTACAGAGTGGTAAAAACCAGGCTGGCTGTATTCTGGAATCAAAGAAGCAGATGTGGATGTGAAGGAAGTGATACACAGAGCCGGATAGCAGATCCAAAGAAACAGCTCCGATCTACCGAAACAATGGCTATCACGTGTTTTTTCCTAAGTAGAAGAGAATTTTTAGTCTGGTGGTTTTTTTTACAGCAGAACCTGGAAACACTGAGAAATTTGTTTAATTTTCCCTACTTATTTTTGGCTTGAACAAATAGTTTCATATTTGGAACATTATGCTTCTCTGTGCTGTTCTGGAGAACACCAGGATACCAGCAGGACTCAAGGAGTTCACAGAGACCCCTCTAATGTAGATGCTCTTTTAAAATGCTTGTTCAAATATTGAAAAAAAAAAAATTAAGTTTCACTTAATTTGTGCAAATTTGTTATTATGAATATAAAAACCACAACACGTCTCATGGAATGAGCTTGAATGCATTAGACCAGGGGTGTCAAACATGCGGCCCGCGGTCCGGATTCGGCCCGCAAGTGGGTTAAATCCGGCCCGCGAGATGGTTGTGTAAACTTTATTTTCATACTTTACAATGTAGAGTGAAAATAAACGTATCTTTGTGAGCAAGTTTCCTCTGTAATGAGTATAAATAAAACAAAGCTGCGCTCAAGGCTCACACAAGAACTTGAATCACATCCTGAAGTTGGCCGCCACTCAGGATGTGACTTCTGATATTGATGTGCTGGTGAAAGCTAAAAGATGTAAAGTAAAATGAGTCAAATATACTTTAAGTGCTGCATGAAACTGATCTAGCCATGTGATCTGTAAGCTCTTTAAATCACTAAGGAATGTTTTTATTGATTTTTTTTTCTTTCAAATTTTCAAGTACACTTCAGGTGTTGTACTTGTACTATTTTGGATACACTGTCCTCAGGCTGCAGCCTTGTTTTGTATTGATTGTATTAAAACAAAGAAAACCATCTGAAGTTGTTTTTAATTTACCGGTCTGGTCCACTTGGGACTAGATTTCTCGCAATGTGGCCCCTGCGCTAGACTCTCCAGCATAGCTTACCTGGCGATGATACGTTTTTTATTTTCTCTCTAGAAAGAACCAGCCTGCACTGGTTTGTCAGCTCATTGGTTAAAATAAGGCAGAGAGAGAAAGATGCTTATGTTTTTTGTTTGATGCATGCAAAACCAGAATCTGCGCCAGGGGTCACCACCCTTTGTGAAGCTGAGGTTCTTCATGCTACTGAGCCACATGAAGGGCTACCAGGTTGATACAATACTGACCTTTAAACTGGAATAGATCAGAGTTAAACTAAACTAAACTGCAACAGATTTTTTTTTATTTACTGTAGACTAATGCTTTTTAGAGAAAAGGCCTGTGGAAATCTTTTACAGTTATTGGGGCACCAGGCTGGTGACCCCTGCTCCATGCAGACATTCTGATGCCTCACACGATGATGCAGTGAGGAAAGAGAATGCGGAGCTGGTGGCATGCAGTGGAGTTTTGGAGGACTTTTTTGTTCAGTTGTTGGCCTCACTGAGAGTCCCAACCTCTAAATACATTTGGAACGCTGCTTTTGGAAAACTAGCAAGACAGTTGTAAGAGTTTGCGATCCAATGACTCAAAACATTTGGAAACAAATGCAAACGACACACAAGCTAAAAGAAAGTTTCTGATGAAGATGACAGCTAGTAGATTTCACCTCGAACACAAGTAGCAACAGTTCTCACCCTGTTTTGGTGTCACTGCTTTCACACACAGAACAAAATCTTTACCTGCAGCTATAGCCGACACACCAGAGGCTCCAGGAGAGGGGAGGCCGTATCCTCCAAGACTGTGACTCAAAAAGCCTCCTTTGCTCATGGCTACCATGGAGCTGCTGCTGTGCAGACCTGGGTACAACAGACTCCTCTGATGTTCAGAGAAAAATACATCACCATCAGAAAAATCTGCATGGATACAGTGATGTCACTGGATCATAACTTGTGATCATTACCAGTGAGAATGAAAAAGGAAAAACAAAAAAAGAACATTACAAATAGGTTTGATCTTAAAAAGGATGCTTCTGCAAATACTCAGCATCAGATTCTCGATGCGTTGATCGTGTTGGATACGTACAGCAGAGTTGTGGTTTGCCCGTGTGGCCCCCATGCCCTGATTAGCAGCCTCTGCCCGCAGGTTTTCACTGCCCAGGCTCAGAGGAGGAGGGGGTTTCATTTCCAGAGCTCGATTCAGGCTGCTGTGGGGGAACATGGAGTAGCCCAGACCTGACCAGAGACGGATCGAAGCGGGGAAGAGAGAAAAGCCTGCTTCAGTGTGAAACACTCATGTCTCTCTGCTGTCCTCTGTTGGTTCAACAACGTAATGACTTCTTGATTTGTACGTACCAAAAGGGTTATTTCCCATAAACTATTCCTGTTAACTAGTCCCCTGAAAGGACCTGTTTGCAACTGATCATAAATCAGCGTTCACTGAGCTCATGATGCATCAGAATAGTTGTAGATTGTAAAAATGAGGTCAACATGGCAAGCAGGTGTGGCGCGCTCTGTGTATTAACCACAGAACTGGTTAAAGCCGCTGTCACTCTAGTGGAGGGCCAGTTTCACAAAACAGACTGGAGAGTATGTGCGAAGTCATGAACACACACTCACACACATTCCCTGTGAGTTCACAGCCGGCTGCACTGAGGGTTGACAATTTACACTTGCATTTCACAGCAAGGCGAGGAACCAGAAAGGTGGCAGATGGACTTTCATTTGAGGAGCAGCACCTCTGATTGAAATCCAGTTCTAGATTTGTGTTTGGAACGTTACGCAGAAACAAATAATGATCTGGAGAGTGTTTTCAGATGATGAACAAGCCAACGGTTTGAGCTGCTGGGTTCACCTGCATGTGGTGACATGAATGCATGGTGTGCATGTGATGCAGCCGGGCTGGTGGAGCCCGGTCGGGAGCCCAGGGGTTTGAACCCCGGCGGTCTGTGGGAGGCCATGCTGGGTACCGAGGAGGCGGAGAAACCATTTTCAGGGCCTGCAGAAACCAGGAACTGTGCTTCTGGTGAGAGCAGTGGATGACCCTGAAGAGAAAATGCACAAATCAGACAGATTAATAAACATGATTACAAAGAAAGTGTGTGTGATGAATGTGTGAAAGCAGAAGTGTGCATGGACTGACACAGAAGCGCTGGCGAGCCACCGACAGATCCACGCCTTCGCTGAGAGGATATTTATCATCTGATACATGTCCGCTCTCCTCACTGTCGAGCTCCGAGCCGTCCAGACTGAGGCCTTTCCTCCGCAGCGTCTAAAGCAGAGAGCAGAAAATCATCTATAACGGCGCTGAACAGCACCATCCAAAACACATCTTATCTTATTCAGTCTCAAAGTCTGTCATGTGTTCATTCAATTATTATATATTTATATGAATTTTTACTTTATGAATAACAGAAAATTGAAATTTTGTATCCAGCTATTTTTTTTATTGTTAGTGTTTGAGTAAATATCAACAAAAACAAGTAACAAGAACATATAGTCGTATAAGTTCAGGGACATTCACACTTTATGCATCACGGCCTTTTTGTTGGTTTCAGATGCTCAGATTAAACTCTTATTATTAAAATAATATAAAAAATCAGATTAGGTCACAATTTGACACCCACCCACTTCTATCCTCAAAGCTACAATGGCAAACTTGGAAAATAAATTAGATTAAAACAGCCTATTATTAATATCAGCCCATATCGGCATTAAAATTTTATATTGGAAATGTTCAGTATCAGTTTTCAGTCTTTTAGGCCCTGTCCACACGTAGCCGGGGATCTGCCAAAACATAGATATTTTTCTACGTTTTGGCCTGTCATCCACACGAAAACGGAGTTTTTTCACACGAAAACGGATCTTTTTAAAAACTCCAGCCAAAGTGAAGATCTGCGTTTTCTCCGTTTTGGGTGTCTGCGTGTGGACAGACAAAACCGGAGTTTTAAGGACCGCAACGTCACTTTCCGCGACAAAAAAAAAAATGCTGACATCACGTGTGCGGCCTGTGTTTACACTAGCCGACAGCATGGATGCCCTCAGAGCTGCGCTCGCTTTATCAATTGTCCAAGCGCTTTCTGCTTGTTTGTTTTTGCAAGCGGAATTACTGCTCCTTGCGGAAGACCACAGACGAAGGACGAGGTTAAGAACGGGGGAAGTACTGCCGCCTACAGGTCTGGCATGTCCTTAACAACATATTTATCCGGTACGTGTGGACAGAGTTTTTTTTTTAAACGAGGTGGTGTGGATGCAAGTTTTTGGAGGGGCGGATATTCGTTTAAAAAAAAACGGCTACGTGTGGACTAGGCCTTAATGACCCAACTTTTACATCCAATACACATATGTAATATACATCAAACTCTTCAGCTACTTCTCTCTTCTCTCTCTCTCTCTCTCTCTCTCTCTCTCTCTCTCTCTCTCTCTCTCTCTCTCTCTCTCTCTCTCTCTCTCTAAATGTCAAATATGACAGACCTGGGGTAAGATTTTTGAGATATTTTAGTTCATTTGGCCCAACTTGAAGAGTAGGAATTTGCCCTGTGTGGCATCCTAACAGCATGTAGCTACGTGTAGCTAGCTAGCTAACGAACCAATAAAACAAAAACAGGAATCTTCACCCAAGGCTTGATTTTATTATCTGAAGATCTTTAAAAATGTTTCATCACCACAGCTGTAATATACAGAAAAAGGAAAAATAAATAACTAACATCTTAGCGCCATGCTTAGGAAGAACGAGATCCAGCTGCTGTTGAAGACAAATAACATGCCACTTTTCCTGCATGCTAGGGGATATTGGAAAAAATGAAAACTGAACAATTATGGGGAGCCTAAGTCATGCCCATCTACTTCTGGACTATGGGTCCTTTTCTGCCTAAAAAATGAATTGGAGTCTATGGACTGATAAAAGTTATTTTCTGATCCTGCTTGATTTAACGTATGATGTTCGGGAATTTCAAAGACACATTTTGGTGCCAAGAAAGCACTTATCTACCACAGGCAGCAACAGTTATTGGAGGTTTTGCATCCAAACACAGAGGACTCCAAGTGCCTGTCTCACCAAATTTATGTCATCAAACCAGACATGGAGAAGAAGAAAAATGTCTTCCCATCCAGGATGATAGCAGGAGCATTAAACGTGGAGAAAACCACTATAAATCTGACCATGTAGTAGGTAGCAGCTACACTGGGGGAGATTCTGATGCAACGTCTGATTTGTAATCCTTTTAATTACAAATTTTTACAAGCTAATGAATCCCAAATTATGGGACATAGTCAAAGCACATGTAGTAATTTATCATTAAATTTTATGTGATATATCATTATGTGATTCAGGGCATAAGGCAAGGTGGACAAGAAAATAACTTATAGCTTATCACTTATTCCTTTTATTATTCATTTAAGATACTGTAGCGATCTGTGAAATCACAGATCAGTCACCTGATTATTATTGACCAACAGTTGTTTTGATTAGCTTTATTAAAAATAAAGTTCTTTGATTAACTAATGAAAAGCGTTCTTCGTCCTTCTTCTGTCTTCTTTCCTGGAATGTAAACATCAGAAGCAAGCGCACGGCCTTGGCAATTTATGCACACTGTCACTGTGTCAAAGGGCAGCTGTTAAGGGCAGAAATGGCATATTCATAATGCTACAGTACCCATGAGCCGACCGGAAGGGGTGGAGACGTAGACTCCCCTACCCGCTCCTCCTCCCCTTCTGGAAGGTGCTGAAAACCATGCCTCATATCACGTACGAGCACAAATAGCCTTGTAGTGCTAACGGAAAACTAACGATATCCATTAGTTGCTCACACAAGTTTTTTTTCATAAGCCTGATTGGTTGGTACCCCCCTACACATGGTGCACAATGCATTTGGGCGGAGCACCAGCACTGACCAGTAGGAAAATGGTACTTGGGTTGGTCTAGTATTGGTCAATGTGTTAATGACTTGTTTTGCTGTGGAGGCCAAGGGAGGGGCATGGAAAAATAAATTATGAAAGACGACCTACTTTGTTTCATAGAAAGGATCAGGCTGTCAAATGTAAGAAATTTTAAGTTGTTTTTATATTTTTCAGCTGCGTATCCCAGCTCTAAAGTCTACACTATGAAAAAAAGAAAGGACATTTTTCCTTTTTGCATCATTATTTAATTTCAGGTTACAGTGTTTCAGACGGGTTTGAAAAGGACCCTTCTACAGGGTTGATCAGAACGTCAGCGAGATAAACGGTTACCTCCACGATGTCGGTGTTGGTGCGACTCTCATGCGGCTCGCTGTATTCGGTGTACTTTAACAGGACCTTGTCCATGTCTGTGCTGGCATACTGGAACAAACGGTTGGTGCTGTTGAAGATGATGAGGGCAATCTCGCAGTCACAGAGCACACTCAGCTCATACGCCTTCTTCATCAGTCCAAACTTACGTTTGGTGAAGGTCACCTTCCATAAAGAAAGAACATTTTAAATGAATGAATACAATTGAGAATAGTTTCAAAAGAGTATTTTCCTTTAAAAAAGACAAAGATTTTAATTAATAAAATCACAAATGGTAATAGATCAATAAGCAAAGGGCACGTTTCTTACTCAGCGCCTACGATAAAAAGCATTATTTAGTTCAGAATAAAATGTATCTCCATAAAACACTGCCATAAAGACAAGAAACTTTTATTTTCAAACAGTGAACACATCCTTTGTTGGCCCATTATCATTAGTGTTATAATAAACTACAAACACATTTTGTCCTACAGATGTCATCACAATCAAGTTTAACCGATTATCTGCGATAATAACGGTAAAATACATCTTTTTCTATGTCATAAACATATTTACTCTTTCCACGTTGGTTCGTTGGCGAGCTCACTTAACTCTGATCCGGTAAAAAAAATAAAGTCAAATATTCCTGCTGATTGAGAAGAAAACCTCATCTATCTGTGACTGGGGATTTGTAGGATTAACAAGGATTATGGAAAGATTTGGTTTGGTTAAACATAAAAAGTTGTACTGTATGTGAAGGATAGATAAATGCAAATAAAGGTGCTGAAGAAACGTTTAGTGAGGATGAGTGAAGAAAAGCAGATTCATTTCCTGCTGGAATCATTTATTTGACCAGGTCAGAAAAGTAAAAATAATCCAGATGAACGATCCTGGATTTTCTGATTTTACATCGTCTGCGTTTTGACAGCTCATCAGGTGGAGTCAAGACTCAGAGCATCCGTATCCTACCTGACGACTTATCATTTTTCATGATTTTATCTTGTGATTGTTGGGAAGAAAAAGAAAATAATTATTTGTCAACATCCCTATTCCCTAAACCAGAGCGTATCCAACATCATTTTATTTTGAAAAGGGAACATTTATTTATAGACGCCAAACTAAAGGGCATTAAAACACAAAATGAAACAGGATAATAACTATAATATTCATAATACTTTAATAGTCTGCTTTTATAATTTCTTAAAATAATACATATTAATAATTTAAAACTTGCATAACTGTGTTCCTTTAAATTCATCACTCTGGCTGAACTGCATAAAGAAACTAACCTAAACTAATGATGCTCTGTAATTAAATAAACTGTAGTAAAAACAATGAAAATGGAACGATCAAAGTATCCAGAGTTCAAACCCTAACCCTAAACATAATGCTGTTGGAAAATCCAATCATGAAACCCTAAAATCAAAATACGGTGTCAGCATCATGAAAAGCATTAATGTAATTTTGTGTATTTAATCTAAAGATGTTAGGAGAAAGATTAATGCTGAAAAAGTGTGAAGGCCCACCTGTCTGTTCCTTTGGTCAAGAATACGAGAGATTTGTATTTTCTTTCTTCCCATTTTTTCTTGTTTCACTCTGAAACCTAAAAAAGACAAAAAGTTAATTAGTTCCCAACAAATGGCCTGTATTTATAATAGCACCTTCACGGGTTCTACACCCCCCCCCCCCCCCCCATTCAGCCATGCACACACACATTCACACACTGATGGTGATGATCTCCACCATAGCCAGAGCTGCCCTGACGGAGGCGAGGCTCCCAAGCACAGGCACCACCAGGGTGACGTGTCTTGAATTTAATTTTTTATTGAGACAATTCAGTTCAAATGACAGTTGAGCATTTCTGGTGGGAAAATGTCTGTTTGCTTTTTGGGTGACTCAGGTTGCTTCCTCTCAGAATGGGCGAGGGTGTTTATTTTTGCCACCAACAGCCAAGGCGGTATGAAGTCAGAGCAATTTTGCCATGCAGCATGAGTCCGCACAGACCGAAACACTCTGCTAGGTTACCCCCAGCGCTAGACTGCACCACGCTGGTCCCAGGAGACGGGGTTAAAAATATAGTCTGCTGCTCCTTTTAAAGGCTCAGCAGGCTATAAGCTGAAACCAAATGGTGTGCTTTCAGAAAGATGGCAAACGGCAAGAGCCGCCCACTCCTCTCTCATGCACAGCCAGGTCAGAGAGGGAGGCAGCCATGGATGTGGATGGTTGGGTTCAGAATGTTTTAAGACTGAGATGCTCAATTATTATTTCCCGTTTTAAGGCCTTTAAAACTTCATCCAGTGCTCAAGATTAATTTCTGCAGTCATAAATGTGCTCAAGATTTATTTTGAAAAGCCTTGTCTGGGTTTTCCCTTCAACTCTGTTTTAATGTTTCTATATTTAGGTGTTTGCTCCTGCTGATGCTGCTTGCAGCGGATATGGCGCCCACGTTCCCATGACCCCTGAAGTGTCCCTTAAAGTTTGGCACTCAGGCATTGAAGTCATTTCTGTCGGAATCCACCTTTTTTTTCTCGAGATGACCTTATAAAGTCCTGTGAAATGTGCCGGTCTGAGTGTGCTGGTCTGAGTGTGCTGGTCTGAGTGTGCTGCAGAGACAGGACTCACCTAACCATCTAACTACCGCAGTCCAACTCACACGTGCTTCCGTCACTACAGCTAAAGAAAGTGGACAAAGAGGACCACAAAAACCAGCATTGGTCTGTTTGACTGACAACTTGGATCCCACAAAGACTTCACAACAAGCTGTTCTATTAGGAGAGACGGGTTAACCTGATATCGAGATATTTTATGAGTGACAAGAAAAGGAAGTGGAACATACGTTCAAAACGGCGCAGAGAGATATTTATCTGATTTTCTTTTGTCTAAAAAAAATCACAAAATTACACCCACTGGCCCCACAGAGAGGCCCTGTGAGAAAACATGACCAAATGACTAAATATAGCTATGTACGTCCAGCCAAAGAGCGCAGAGATGGTGCAGAGCTCTTTGTGGTTTTGCAGGTTTGTGAAAAGTCAGAAAGAACATTAAGAGAAGCAGGAAAAGCCAGGCAGAGCCTCACTGTTGATGCTAAAAGTTTTCCCATATTAACTCAGACATTTGAGGTCTGTGTACATCTGTGACCTTTCATCCCTAAGGTCACCTCCTCAATTCTTGAAAAAAAAAGGACATGAAAAGTAGCAGCAGATCTTGTAGCACGTAGTAAAAAAAAAACACATGCCAGACAGAATTTTTCTCATAGTGTAATAATTGCACACATGCACAGATGCCCCTGGGTCTTTCAGCGTGTAAAAGACAGCAGCGCAGCCAGACGCCTTCCCAGATGAGCAGCAGTGGAAAACACCAAGCACCAACACATATCCTGGGATCCATTCACGGCTCACCAGGGAGCTCACCATGACAACAACACATGCACACAGACAATCTAAAAGAAGCATAAACACAACACAAGATGATTTTTGTTAATGTGATCAGTTCTGGATTCACCCACCGATGTCTCATCTCTCACTCTGCATTAAAAACTCCACGTGTGACTGAGAAAGGGGTATAAAAGTAGGGCACGGAGGGTTCTGCCTCACTGGTTTTCTTTCCATGACAGATTTAAATCGTGCTGGTGTGGCAGAAAGTTGGTGAACACGTGTATCAATCAAATAATTGTGAGACAAATTCAAACTAATTCTGCGTAGCTTTAAGGTGTTGAAGTTGGTCAAACAGAAGGATCCTGGAGGTCTGAAAAAACCCCGATGCGTCACTGGTACTTCCTGTGATGTCAGGCCATAGTTTCTGCAACCTGATCTGCTTTTTTGGACCAAAATCCATCTGCAGCTGCAGAAAGAATAAAGTCACACAGCGTTGTCACTGTTCACAGTTTGGTCACGTTTGGTCATTCAAAAGGGCTTTAGTGCAAAATGAGATTCTATTAACCTAAAACTCCCAAAACAACTTGGACTGCAGCAACATTTGTAGAAAATAAATAACATTTTCTACTTTGTTAAAATAGTTTTTACTATTTGTTCTTTTGACCTATCGGACATTTTAAAACATACATTTTATTTGGATAATTAAATTTGTATTGATTTGCTCATTTTGTTTTATTATTGTATTTATTTATTATTATTATTATTATTATTATTATTATTATTATTATTACTATTATTATTATTATTATTATTATTATTATTATTATTGAGGATGGACTGATGACCAATTTAAATAGCAACTGGAGTTATAATAGTTTTCTATTTTCTAAAAAAAAAATCTGAACAACAGAAAATGAGATTAGACTGGAAATGAAAAAGTTAAGCAGCAAATATTAAAAAAGAAAACATTATTTGAAATATCAGCATGGCATCTGGTAAAATTTTGCTCTAAATTGCTTTAAGAATTAAATAAACATGAAATACAGAAAAAAAGTGATGGGTGTTTGATTCAGCGTGGACCAGCCTACTAAACCATAAAAATGTTTACCCCAAAAGAAAAGAAACCAAATGGTCGTTAAATCTTTAGTCACATCAACGTCCTCTTCACATCCAAACTGCAGGAAACTTTTAGATGTATTTTGTTTGTTTGCAGATATGTACGAGATGTTTAACTTAAAATAAAACGTATTACTGCGCTGAGCACTATAAAAGTGAGTGTGATAACGGGGGTCAGACGGTTCATGTCACCAGGCCTTCACACAGACAAATAGTGAGGAAATATTTGTCTAATTTTAACAGGAGATAATTCAATTGCTTTGATATTTTTGATCAGAGTTGCAATGGTACACTCTATTGGCACGATCAGGACATTTGATCCTTCTTTAAACAGAAAGGTTTGAGTTTAAGAAATTGGTGCAGAACAACCTGATCTGTAATCTATCTATCTATCTATCTATCTATCTATCTATCTATCTATCTACCTACCTACCTACCTACCTACCTACCTACCTACCTACCTATCTATCTATCTATCTATCTATCTATCTATCTATCTATCTATCTATCTATCTATCTATCTATCTATCTATCTATCTATCTATCTATCTATCTATCTATCATCTATCTATCTATCTATCTATCTATCTATCTATCTATCTATCTATCATCTATCTATCTATCTATCTATCTATATCTATCTATCTATCTATCTATCTATCTATCTATCTATCTATCTATCTATCTATCTATCGATCTATCGATCTATCTATCTATCTATCTATCTATCTATCTATCTATCTATCTATCTATCTATCTATCTATCTATCATCTATCTATCTATCTATCTATCTATCTATCTATATCTATCTATCTATCTATCTATCTATCTATCTGTCTGTCTGTCTGTCTATCTATCTATCTGTCTGTCTGTCTGTCTGTCTGTCTGTCTGTCTGTCTGTCTGTCTGAACTCGGTCCATCATTAAACCCTGCGCAGTTCAGGGTTAAAAATAAAACCAGAGCAGAAACAAAGTCTAATGAATTGTTAACTGCAGTTAAAATAGAGCGTTTAAGAATAGGCCGTCTGACCCTGAGTTGCCAAGCACCTCTGTTTAATATAGACACCTCTAATAACGCAACAAGTGGTACCAGAACTCTCAGCTGTGTCATGAAATCTGCCACACAGGAAACCCAAGGAAGCGCTTCTCATTTCCCTTTAAACTAAAATAACAATACCAGCAATATTACATACAAATAAAAATATATAAATAATAAAAATAGAGCCTCTGTTCTCACCTTTTTTCCGCTCAGTTTTATGCACTCGGTCTGTCTGCTCCCAGCGCTTGGCCAATATTAGTATAAACTTGAAGTTGCTACCCCCCCCCCTCCAAAAAAGCAGATGCATAGGAGGAAGAGGAGGAAAGAAGGAGGGGGAGGAGGAGGACTCAGTTTCGTGCGCCCTGGTTGATGTGCAGATATCCACCTGATGCGGACGCAGCTGATGGTTCAAGAGCGCCATGGGTTGCTTTCCCCCATCTGGTTGCTGCTGCCTCTCTCTCTCTCTCTCTCTCTCTCTCTCTCTCTCTCTCTCTCTCTCTCTCTCTCTCTCTCTCTCTCTCTCTCTCTCTCTCTCTCTCTCTCTCTCTCGCTCGCTCCCAAAGCTACTCACCAGTTAAGCTGCAAACAGCTTCACCAAAGAAGCCCTCATATGTTTTATCTTTACCGAGCTCTGTAGATGAGAACAACCAAGGTTTCAAAAGCATCCGTGATTTTTGTGAAAAATAAAAATAAAAAAAATATTCCAACTAGAAGAGTTCCAAACCTTTGCCGAGAAGACACCATCTAGTATCCACTCTTAGACATTTTAGTTTTGGGTAAAATATAGATAGATAGAATTTGTATAATTGAAAGTCTAAGAATTGAAAACTTGTGAACAACCACATTAATAACAGCACGGATGATAACAGCTCAAACCTGGCGGTCATAATGAATCACAGCCTAAATGGGCTGATCGCTTAAATGTGAAACATGTCGCTGCTTCAGACAACAAAAGGACCCTGTGTGTGTGTGTGTGTGTGTGTGTGTGTGTGTGTGTGTGTGTGTGTGTGTGTGTGTGTGTGTGTGTGTGTGTGTGTGTGTGTGTGTGTGTGTGTGTGTGTGTGTGTGAATGGATGAATGGCATAACGCGTTTGTAGTACCCTGACTCTGAAAGGTGCTATACAAGTGTGGGTCATTCATCATTTAATTTTCTAATGCTGGCTTGTTCTGTTGCTTTTAAGTGAGGCATGGTTCAATGTAGATGTTGAAGAAGTACTGCTTGGATTTTATTCTATTTTATTTTACAACAGGGTGCACTTAAAATTTTACTAAATTTTACTGAATGCATTTTTTCTTGTGTCATTTTTATATGAGCTTATTTTATTGTGTTCAGCACCTTGGGCTACCTTACCTTGAGGCAGGAAGGTGCTTTATAAATAAATAATTGAACTGATCTGAAAGAGTCCCCGTTTGTGATGTCACAAACAGAGAAGTTAGGACGGAGACTGCTGATTGCTCATGTGCTCCAGGCAGCTGCATCCTGTGCTCATCAACATTCTCAAAGTTGCACCACCAAAAGAAAATAACATGCAATTGTTCACGTCTGCTCACATTCTCTGGTACTTTCTGTCCATTATGCCTGAGTCATGCTTCTCCGTCAGCTCCAAAAGGGAGAGACACGCACGCACGGACGGAGACAAAGCAATTCCCCGCCAGGACAACAGAGGGCGTAGCGCTGTTTTGTGGTATCCTGTCCCATATCTGGTCCAAGATAGTGTGTTTATATTGTGTTTTTTTTATATAAGAGACTTTTTAACACAGAAAAATTTCTCTCTCATTCTCCTTCACCTTTTCATGGGCTCGCCACCTCTAAACCCACTTTTCCTGTCATTTCCGTCCACAAATAAAACACTTGCTGCACTTCTTTCGGGGGAATTAAACGTTCATATTTTTAGAGTATTTTCACAAGGTATTCTTCAAGCTGCTCCGTGTCTGTCGCTAGTTATTCTCGGCTCTTTTTCTGTTTTTGAGGGCGCAATGACGGCGGTGTGGACGACAGCGGTGCCCTGACCAATCAAAAGCTTGCGTTCTCCGTCTCGACGGATGTTTAGAAAAGAGAGCTCGACTCCGTCCGTCCTTGCGGGGGCTCTCCAGCAGGCTCGCAAGGACGGATAATGGTGTTGCGTATCTCCGCGCTGACGCATACGCAGAAGCATGACTCAGGCTTTATTCATGCCAGATGCGCTCTGCTGCAGTGGAGCTATAAACCTGCACCCCATGACTTCACTTCACTGGCTCGGCCGCGCAGTGCCCGGTGTTTTCACAGTGGGTAGATCCCTCGGATGTGCTTGGTTCAAAAGTAACTCATGAGGTGAAAAAAGAGGAATTCAGTTACCAGTATTTCTGGAGGACTGAGAGGGGATGCAGGAAGAAAAGAAATGGATAGGACAGGAAAATAGCAAATAAAAAATAAGAAAACAAAAGGTCAAGTTATCCCACTGCACGTTTTTTTACTTGATAAAGCAATAATTTATAAACATGTAATATTTATAATTTTGATACAATCCAGATCACCTTAAGAATCCAGTTCAACACCCAAGGCAAAATAGTCTTGGACCCAGCTCTTATGTGCAAAAGAAAGCTGCTGGAGGAGCAGCACCTCTACTCTAAGCCCCTCTACGATATCAGAGCTTCTCAGCTTATAGCTGCCTTAGCTGGGGATGGGTGGGCTTGGCTGGCTCCAGCTTGTTTTCTTAAAGTGATAGAACCTTGAAATGGCTCCTTATGGAAGGTACTGAAACGATCAAGAATTAAACTGCTAAAATTGCTTCATGTGAGAGGGATTTTGTGCAAAGGACGTCATAAACAACTTTCTATCCACCATAAATTTATTATAAGGTAAGAATAGATAAGCATAACGTGTCCCCTTTATTGCAAGACAAGTTTCTGCTACCACCACGTCAGAGTTTTGCACCAACTCATGAGCAAATTTCAATCTTATTTTTCTCCTTCCTGAAAATGTAACTCTCATCTGCTTCATTTGCAACAAATTTGTTTTCTGACTGACTGCAAATTTTTCAAACGGTTATTGTTGCACTTGGATTAGCTTTAATTAGACTATTTTACATGTCATAGGACACAAAATAAGTGAAGGATAAAAGTGTGGGACTTTTGAAAAAAGCTCAAATCGGAGAATGCAAATTTTTAACTAAACTAAAAAAAACTGTTTCCTTTTAAGTTACAATATGTAAAAATTTTACTGTGAAAATAGTCACGAAACAGTCTAATGTCATAATGATGTCAGCTCAGTGACCTAGTGGTAGAGTGTCCGCCCTGAGACTGGGAGATCAGGGTTCGATTCCTGGTCGGGTCATACCAAAGACTTTGAAAAAAATGGGACCCAATGCCTCCCTGCTTGACACTCAGCATTAAGGGGTTGGATTGGGGGGTTAAACCACCAAATGGTTCCCGAGTGCAGCTGTGTCTGCAGCTCACCGCTCCCTCAGGGGATGGGTCGAATGCGGAGAGCAAATTTCGCACACACATCAGTGTGTGTGTGACAACTAATGGGACTTTAACTTTAACTTTATGTCGGAAGGAAAGTTACATTGAAACAGATTTCATTCTAAGCTGGAAGGCTGTTGCTGAAACTGAATTAGAAACAATCAGCTCTAAAAATATCTCAAGCTACGTTTTTCAGTTACTAACAACTTGATATTACAGGGAAATGTATTTATCAACTCACTGTGGGTGACTTGTCTTTGCTTGTTATCTTGAATCTTCTGGCGTGTAATTGGAAATAGCCATGAAACTGACGTAATGGTAGTGAGAAAGTCAACCCTTGTGTTTTTAAAATAGACGGCAGTACCCAGGGTGGACCACAGGATGTCAATTTTACATTTACAAACATTATGCATGTTTAAGTTTGAAAAAAAAAAAACATATTTGTTTATTTAAAAGTTGAAAAGAGGGCAGGGCTGGACTAGCCATCTGGTATACTGGGCATGTCCCCGTGGGCTATTTATCCAATGTGGCCTCGGCTCCCCCATCAAATGATCAAGCATGCAGCGGCAGCATGTTTCTCCCCCCCGCTCTGAGAAATGAGAAATTTCCACTCACAGAGAAGTCTGTGGTGTCCTTCTTTAATTAGTAAACAAAGACGGCCATGAGCAGTGTCGCTTTTGGAGTCTCTGACATGAAGCACACAGCTTCCTACTTTCTCAATGAGGAGCGGTGCTGCCGTGGGCTCCTCACACACCACTCGCACTGGAGTGGCCGATCAAAGCTGCAGTCAGAGAAAATGTTTACCCCACTGCATCCAGACCAATGTTGAAAAGGCATGGGAACTGGCAATCAGAGGCTCACTCTAATAGGTAGGCGTGAACTTTAGCTAGCCAATCAGTCTGTGGTTGGTATGTTGGGTCGGCTCTGCGCGAAGCTGACCCATGGAGAGTGGATTAAAAAAATGGGCGGCTTAGCACCGAAAAGGCAGCGATTACCCAGATACACTTACCCCACCAAGGCTAGACCGGACCGACCCAAAAGTGAATACACCATTATTTTTTGTGAGATGTTTTTACTACATTTAAGTAACTATGATTTTCCCCAAGAAAGTGTTATTATGAAAACTGTTTTTCCAAGATCATTTTTGTTTTTCAGAAAAAAACAAACTCGAACTTCAAGAAGTTTTGTGCTGTTAAAACTTTTCAATACCGTGAAATCATGCTAAGCTTGCTCAGAACACAGGGCTGCATTGAACTGAAGATACAATTCAATCGGCTGGTTCCTTCTTATAGGGCAAATGTGAATAACTGGCATTTTATAATAACTATAAGTTAATTTACAACTGAACAGATTTTATTTAAATAAACAACTGGGTGTGAAAAAGCAAAAGAGGAAGATCAAAACTAAATACACAGCAATCAGTCATGCTGTTAGCTCTTGAATATATTTAGTTAGTAAATGAACGACTGCATTAGCTGCATTCTTGGCTTTTCTGGGAGTCAAAACAATGTAGAGCACTCCTAAAAATATTAGTGTGACAAATTATTAGCACAGCTATTCTGTGTAATAGAAGAGAACGGCTCCACTCCCCTCCCTTCACCCAGTGAGAGACTCAAACTGTATCCTCATCCATATTAATGTCGATGATCCCCAGATACGCACAGTTCATAATCCCATGGTGTTTTGTAGTGATGCAATAGTTAGCAACATCCCTGCAGAGTAACGCAGCCTTTGCCTCCAGGATTCATCTGCACTAGGCCGTTGAGCTAAAGTAACGAAGCAGTCAAATGTAAAAGCCTTAAGCTCATCGAGTGTGAGTAAACCTTACCTTACCCTGACGGGCATTTAGACAAATGTCATTTTAAATAGAACTTTACAAACACAGAGACTGAACACGGAATAAAAACTTCACTCACACATTAAGGCAAATCACGGATAAATCCACGAAACAAGAAGCTGAGCTGAGATAAAAGTCAATTTGAGACCTTCCCACATCGTCTTTTTTCCCTGAAACGTCTCACTTCTGCTTTTGACAAGATCAGCTACGACTCTTTTAGAGCATGTGGTGAAGCTGTCGTGTTTAGAAATAGCATCCATGGTCAGTGTACATGTGTGAAAGCAATTGTTCACATTGTGTGTGTTTTTAGCTACCGTCTTATCTACATCTCCACAGAACGAGTGTTGCACCTTAACTCCCCACCAGCCTCTAACCTGTAACAGAACAATAAGGCCTCTGTAACAAAAGGCACAGGCTTTAAGTGTGTCAAGATTCTTGTGGGCTAGCAGCGCGCAAACAAACACTTATTTAGTTAGACTGAAATAAACTGTTCGGGGGAAAAGTAGATTTATTTTAAATCAATTAAGTACGTAAATGTGCAAATGAAAAATGAGGTGCCTAACTTATAGACTGTGCATGATTTAAAGCAAACTGTCAAATATTTAATTCAGTTTGGAAAATGATAAATTAAATAATGCTCCTAAGGAAACGGGTGAAGAAGCCTCCTCAAACGCTTATAAGCTGCTGCATTTAGTTTGTCAAAAATTGATTTAGTACTACTCACTTACATTTATTTCAGGTTCTTATGGGTGGCCTGTTAAAAAAAGAGCTGCATTAATCCTTTAATCACTTCATGAGAACAGCTGTCTGCATTACAGTACAAGAAGTAGGCTGTTCTAAAAGAAGAGGGAGTTCTTTAATTGTCACCACATATCACTTTTGTTTGTTCCTGAAAAACATCTTGGATTCGTTTGAAACCAAAGACCAAAAATCCTGCATTTAGAATAACTTCTGGTGCCCTTCACCAAAACTCCCATGCATAGATTTGAATAATGTCATTTACAGAGTGAGATCTTTGTGTTTTAGTGATCAAAAAGCCTGAACAATTCTACTTTATACTCAGTATTTAAAATGATTAAAGTTGCCCTAATGTGTTACAAGAGCAATAAATGCAAAAAAGTCCACAATGGAAAATGGAGACATTCAGCATTACAAAGTTATTTTAACTATAATTTTAAATGCACTTTAATTGAATTTATCCAACCTAAAATTGGCTAACATCAAATGTGTATACACTTTTGTGTGGACACTTAAATTGATAATTTCTGATTAAAACACCCAAAAAAACTTTTCCTGAAGCACCCAAATGAATTAGTTCTTCAGAGAACCCCTTGATAAATGGTTATTTAAGGAACCCTAAAAGGTTCTGATTTTAAGGTTCCACAGAGAATCTAATGATGTTCTTTAAAGAACTTTTTTCGGTTCTCTGAAGCACCCAATTGAATTAGTTCTTCATAGAACCTTTTGATAAATGGTTATTTGTGGAACCCTAAAAGGTTCTATATGTGAGGTTCCACAGAGAACCAAATAAAAGTTCCTCAAAGAACCCATTTATAAATGGTTCTTTAAAGAACCAATAGGCAAAAGGTTTCTTGGAGAACCGAAGAAGGTTCCCCTATGGCATCACTGTGAAGAACCGTCTTTGGTTCTAAATGGAACCTTTATTTTTAACAGTGTAGCCAAATAATCTGAATGACAGATAATCAGCACCTCAGCTGCGCCTTTACTCGTTATATTAAAACACACTTTTAAGTTTGGAATGAATGAAATACGAATGAATAATATCCCTCTCTGTGTTTGTGTTGTGCCTCTCAGCTCTCCCAGCTGCACGTGAAGGCATTGTTTCCGACCGCCCAACATAAAAAGTCCATTGTTACCGCGAACTTTTTAATCCGGGGATTTAAACCCGCTCACATGCTCAGGCTGGGCGACAGGATGTCCTTCTGCAACAAGCAACCTGAACTCTAGCGGAGGAAAGCACTTTTCCTCCGCAGGACAGCGTTGCGTATTTTTATTCTGCGCACTCTGCAATGGGAACGCTGTAGGATCTTCGGGAGGTTGCGTTCAAAGACTGGGAGAAGAAACTTTCCCCACTAAACCCTTTCTTCTGAAGCAGCCCGCCTGGATAGCTATCGGGCTGAAACATGACGCTCAAGTACAGCCAGAGATCTTTGATTGTCCTGTCTTTGATGGGGATCTTATCGGCCAGCATGGCAGTTTTATCGGTGATTTTAATGTTCCAGCTGCAGAATCAGCACGCGGCGATGAGGGAGTCTCCCGCCTCCCTCGCCGCCTCCTCGGTCATCCCCGCTCACGTCTGGCCCGTCCTGCTGCCGGTGTCTACGGTGCTCTCGGCTCTGTCCCTCACCCTCAACCTGGGCTCCGTAGTCGTGTGTCTCCTCCACAGCTACTTTTCCACCGAGGTCTGCAGAGGAGGACTGGACACAGAGAGGTAGTGTTTGGACACCTGCAGCAGCTGGACTACGCGTGTGTGACGCACAGCTATAAAAATAAAAATACACCCAATTATACACACCGTTTCAAGTGGTTGCTAATATATGTTTTTCCAACTGATGGAAAGTTCAGTTAATCCACTTGTAATCTCCAAATTACTGTTTAAAGATGATTCAATATAAGGGTCGGGGCCCCATGATGGCCGTCAAACACAAAGTTGGGGACTTTAATGTTGATGAACTCATTCACTGCCAGCCGTTTTCTGATCAGAAAAGCCCTTCGCTGACAGCGTTTTTACTGTTTTTTTAAGAGTCACCGAGTCTTGGATCTAGGATGATGTTGACGCCAAAGCTACCAAAACAAAGAGGAGACTCACCTCTCACATCAGGAAGAATCCGCGCGTTATTCGTTATTTCGTAATTAGTTGTAGAATTGTGATTGTCAGAAGCTTTTCCGGTTTGCGCCTGACCTTTTTTTTTTTACAGCAGCGGCCCAAAATGATCTCCTAACACATGGATTTTCTGCTTCCTGATCACGTGACGTATGACGTACGTGGATGAAGATCGGCTTCAGAGCTGGGATGTTTGTTCTCACGGTGCGGGGGCTCGTTCCCACTCCCACACAGTAATAAAAAAAATGCAAATGACGACTTTAGTTGTCATTGGCAGTGAATGAGTTAATAGAATTATAGAAAAGTGATTCCTATTACAGTTTTTCTCCATTGGTTTGGCTCATTCCTTGAAACAGAAATTACATTCTCAAACCTCTAAGATCATTAGGCAAAACACTCAGAGTTTAGCACATCACCATAGCTCACCTGCAAAAGCTCAAATCTCTTCTAGGGCCCGACCGATATGCTTTTTTTGGGACCGATACCGATATAAAACTTTTAACAAAGGCCGATAGCCGATATAATGGCCGATAAATCTCCCTCACAAAAAAAAAGAAATAAAAGTTCTTAAGCTTAAACCCTTCATCCTCTGCCTTTTTGATACAAACTTATTTCTCTATTACACATCAAAGAACTGTCTCAATAACTCGCTAGGGTTTCCAAGTAATGCAAATAAGATTTATTTAGCAGATCTCAAAAACAACAGAGCACACAAACTCATAAATCTAACACTCAAGTTTTTTCTTGTAAACTGTGGTTTCCACAAATACATTTTAACTTAAAGGAATATTCCACCGCTCAGTAAAATTGTGTCTTTTTAAGACTCCCCAGAGTTAGACAAGTCAGAAAAAGCATTTTATAACCAGCCCAATATGATCTGGCAGCAGTTGGTTTTCTTAGTTTAGCTTAAAACAATGTAAGTGAAGTCACACACATTGTAGTGCTTTTTTTTTGTAGGTGAATGCAAGCCTTCCCTTCCATTGCTTTTATGCTAAAACAACTGGTTACAGAATGTTTTTTCTGACTTAGCGAACTCTGGGGAATCTAACAACACACACGGGTTTTCACAGCATCTGTCTGCATTCCTTCGTGGGGTTTTTTAGTTGCTTGCAGCTCAAGGCTACCAGGGCGTCAGATTCAGATAACAAGAATTTGTTTGGGTCAGGGATCATTTCCAGTCCTTCAGTGAAGCCAATTTTGGGTTTTAAACTTGTCCATACCGTCTCTCCGAGATGACATCCATTTGCGCACTAATACCGGTATCGCAGCTAGAACATTGCCCAGCTTACGATTCACCTCGAGTAACGTCCCAGTCTGAGAAGTCTCCACAAGGACGGTGCTTTCCGTGGGTGCGGGTCGCCCTCCAATCGCTCCCGTCTTCCCAAATTTCCAGAAAACCAGATGTCCTCCCACTCCAATCAGGAGAAATCCAGTGATCATCAGACCAAATATCCACACGTCTTCGATGTCCTCAATGGATAGCTGGGAGAGGTATATGATCTTCCAGGAATGCAAAATATATCCCACCGGGTGCGTCCCCTGTGGAAATGTGGGAGCCCCCTGCTCCGTTCTCATTGTTGAAAAAAACGTATCGATCGCATTGAATGACCAGTTTATCAAATCCATGGTTAGTAAAAAAAAAGAGTTTTTCAGAAGAACTGCAGAGAAGCGCTCTGTGGGCAGACAGGACAAAGAGCCTTGGGAAGAAAAAGATAAGGGAGCGAAAGAGGGAAGCGTCTGTACTCCTCGAGTGCCAGAAAAAAGACATTATAAATTAATCAAATAAGACTGGATTAGTGCAGGTATTTAGAACTGGTTCATTTGATGATGTAAAACTGGCTAACTCTTTAAAATTTTTAGTTTGAAAAGATTAACTCTGCCCAGACAGGCAACTTTTTCACTCACTGCATTCAGCTTCATGTCAAACTGTACAAATTCCTCACAGAGCAAAGCTCACGAGTCATGCTTGCACACTGTATTGGGCCATTCCCATCTGTACCGCGTCGGCCCGGGCCGGGTAGCCCCATTCGGCCCCAGCCTGGCCCGGTTGATTCCACACATGCTTGTCTTAAGCCCATGTGGGCTGATTCTACCCACCAATCAGAGGCTTGCTCTAATGGAAGGTGTGAATTTGCTGTCAGCAGTGGGTGTGTTGGCCCTGGTCGGCCTGAAGCAGACCCCCTCGAGAAGAGGGCTGAGAATGAGCCTTGGTTGACCCAGAAAAATACCAGGCCACCCAGATATGTAAACAACCTACGCTACCCGGCCCGACCCGGTACAGATGGGAATGGCCCATATGACTGCATGCTTGGATACGACCTGACTGCTCATGCTATATGTGTGGTAGCAACACATTGAAGCAAATAAATAAAAAAATAAATTATATATTTGACAACCTTTATTTGCAAACATGAACAAATACAAACTTTGTTACTGATGTCTGTTGTCCTTCGGGCTTGCCGTAGAACGACACACGGTAGTTTAAGAGAGATGGAGAAGGAAGGAAAAAAGGAAGTAAATTATTTTAGGATCTGTATAATTTGACATAAACTCAGCAAACACACTTACTGGACTATCCTCGTCATTCTGTGCAGAGAAAAGTGTAAAAAGAAAAAGAAACAACGTGTGTTGATACAAAACTAGCCGGGGCGCCATGTTAACACATGCGCTGTGTAAGGCGGCTCTCGTACTTTTTGGTTGGAGCGCAGCTTCAACAGTTCGATACCCTCACGAGGGATGAGCAAAATGTCAAACGTGTTTGATATTCGTGCGATTGCTGATTGGGAGCTGGCCATGAGGTGTTTTTCGCTGCACGACACAAAACTCGCACTGACCTCAAAGATTCTTGCACGAGAGAAAAATTGACCCAAAACGGTCCAAAGATGGCCCAGTGTACACCTGACATAAGTTTAACTCAGTGGGGCAAATAAACAAGGGGTTTATGTTGTCCTAAAACAAACGTTATTGCAGCTCATGTGAAGTTCTTCATACATTGTCATAATGTCACACATTAGCTAGGCTAATTATTCTGACAGAAACATGACATTCTGCATTGAAGTGTTACAGCTCTCCAATCATTACATACATAGTGAATATTTTTATGAACTGTTTGGAGACTTTTTAGATTACTTTATGTAACTGGCCCCATTGTAACTAGCAGTTAGCTTCTCAGTCTGGTCAGAAATAACTACTTTTTCTTAACGAAGACGTTTTAAAGATGTACCTACAACATACCTTCATTATCTGTTAACAGAATGTAAAATCATCCAGCTTGCATGCCCTCATTATGACCATCTATTTGTAAATGCCACAGCCCATTTTATGGAGAGTAGGTCAAACGTTTGAGAACCACTGGAAGCTTTGAGTTTCACGGCTAGTCAACAACATCAATAAAACATCTAAATTTTACAGATATTGAAGAGTTGAACAGAAGGAGCGGCCCCTGTTGACTGGTTGTAGCACAAGTACACAAATACTGGTTCCTAATATACTAAATATGCATCAGACATAAATTAAATGTCATTGTTTTGCTTTTTTCAATATTGGAAAACAATTGAGACATTTTCATCATCCTTAACTTTCTACAATCTATGGGGCCTATAGCAAACCCGAAGCCAGAAATGCCCAACCCCCGTCTCTTGAGGGCCCCTATCAGGCATGTTGTAGTTGTTTACCTGCTCCAACAAAACCTTGAATTACCTGTTCCGCAGGTCATCCAGCTCAGGAGAAGCCCGTTGATCACCCACTGATTAAAATCAGGTGTGATGAAGCAGAGAAACCTCTAAAATGTGCTGGACTGTGTTCCTCAAAGTCCAGTCTTGGACACCACTGCCCTAAGCTAATTAAATCTGTTGAGCTTTCGTGCTGGTGTTGCACTTTCCACTATTATAGCATGATCACAAAATGCTGTTGAATTTTAATCACACTTAACCTGTGGAAATGTGGTACACAAATAACCTTTTAGTGCTACCGTATTTTCATTTTAGTATTGTTGACATCTTGAATCAGGTATCAGCACACCCTTTCAGGCAGTTATTACATGATTAGTTGCTCAAACTCACATCGCATTGAAAGATGTTTTTAAAACAATCTACAAAAATATATCATCACTACATTTGGTCTAAAATAAGATTCATGGGATTTTATTCGTGCCATGAAAACTGGTGAAGCGAGGAAATGGTAGTACATCCTACACCACTCTCTCTTTATTCTGCTCTCCCCACCTATTCCACCTTCCTCAGGTTCCACTGATTTCCCTCTTTCCTGCTCACTCTCTCTTCCTTAACATTTTTTTGTAATCACATTTGCCCATTTTTGCTCATTTTAAATATATTTGTAAACATTTTCTAAATGTTTTTTGATATTTTTACATTTTTTGTGAAGCGCCTCGTGATTTTTATCTTGAGAGGCGCTATAGAAATGATACTTTCTTCTTCTTCTCCTTCTACATAGGTTCCTCTTTTCTGCACTAAAACTGTTGCCATAACAGAAAAAGAACACATTTAAGCTGTTTACATGCATTTCCCTCGTGCTCACACAATCTTCTTCAGTCGTTAATGCGACAAACCACAGCCTTGTCCTGGATGCTAAATTTAACTGCTGCGTTTTGGTGTGGACTGTTTCAGAAATGTAAAAAAGGAGGGCTATCGTATGAGTAATTAGAGAGCAGAGGCCCACGCTGCAGTGTTGCTGGTCAACCCCCACCCCTCAACCCTAGCCAATCCCACCTAAACAATAGCCTTCCTCTTATTATTCACCCAGCACTCGGCCTCTCGCTGGCCAGTTGGCCCAGAACCTCCGTGCTGTCAGGGGGCACATTCCAAAGTGTGGTGTAAACAATCATTTTGTCTCAACATGCATACTGATTAAAACTAAATAACTAATAACCAAATGCTTACATTTTACTATGCAAACTCACCGGATCAGACACAAAATGTAACATAAGATGTCTTTCAACAGAGCAGACTGGTTTCTTCTGGACAGCAGAGCCGTACGACACGTGGCGATTGGATTATTCTGCCTGGGGGTCACAGTTTACTTGGCAGGTAAGAGAAAACTGAACAAAAACCACAAAAAATGCAAATTTCTCCTATTTTGTTTAATTGTCAGTATTCACTATTACATCATTTGACATCCACTGGATTTGTAGACGTCCCTCTGTGACGACGAACTCACAACAACCTAAAGCTAGGGTCCCGAACGTTGTTGGGGTATTGAATGTACAACATCGGAGGGAGCACAGCGTTGCTGCTCTCCTTCTGATGCAGCGCGCCGCCCTGGGAGAACAATGCATGCTTTGAGCAGCCATGACTTAAGTGTTTTTAATGCTGAACCTGGCAGTGCTGGTTTCACTGAGGGGCTTCTACTGTGGTGATAGTGGAGTGGGCTAGTCGGTTCACTGTGATGGGAGGAGTCAGGCCTTTGACCCCACTTCAGCTGCAGTCAGAAAGGAAGGAGGACAGACAACGTAGAGTCACATCCCAGGGCTGGGCCTCTCACCTCCTTCCTTCAGCATGCCTGAGTCCATAGTTCGTTTCCTGCAGGCAAACACAACAACATACGTGTTTAGCTTCTACTCATCTGGCTCATTAGTGACTCGGTGTTTGTGGGCTGCAGCTAAAATAATTTAGTTTCCTCTTTCCCTGCAGCGATGTCCATCTACATGCTCCTGATATTTGAGATGGAGACGGGTATTGCCTGTGCCTGTGTACTCTCCTCTGGGATCCTGATCCTGCTGGTGGCCGTGATTCATTCCCTGGTCAAAGCTTCCCGTACTGCTAGGCATTACAAGAGCGACCACATTGACACCCTGTTTGAAAACGACCACAGGAGCAACAGCACGGCCGTCTCTCGACCCTGCGAGCTAAGAGTCGGTGTGGACAAACCCCGGATTCACCGCAGCCAGTCTCACGTCCAGCCTCCGATCTCCTACGCCCCATGTGGGAATCTGAGGCAACGAGAACCGTACCCACAGCAGTACTCCACGGGTGAAGGTTCCCTGGGACCCTCGGCTGATAAAGACGGGTACAGCAGTGGTTGGAGCTGCCCCCGTATGCACAGGACTCTTTCCACTGAGTCTGGCTTACTACAGGCCCAGGTTAAGCCCTGGAATGGCGTGAACAATGAAATGAGAAGTGTTCTTGCACGAAAAGCAGGGATTTCTGCTAAAGACTCTACCCTTGTGTAACAAAACAAGCAGAGATTCCTTTAAAAGAAAGAATTTTTAGTGGACTGGACTGATGATGGGTGCAGACGTAGACCTCTTACCCCGGGTTTCCACAGGAGCCGTCAGCAGCACGTCTTGCTCGCGTAAACTGCTGCTTGGCCCTTCCCACGAGACGCGAAGCAGCAGGGGAGCAGCTGTCACCGACCGAGCACGAAGTCACACGAGTGACTTCGTCATTAAACACAACAACAAGCAGGAGAAAACCACAACATGGTTTGTGTTTTATGTTCTGTCCGTTTTATAATCGCCAATACGGACCTGAAAAACAAAGGAGACCGCTAGCTAGGTGATAACTTCTCACGGGGCCGCACAGTTAGTAACCTTTTTTTAAAGTAAAGCGACCGGAAGGCAGTACGTTCTTTATTCTGAAAATCTCGGGAGCTTCTCTCCATTTCCGCGAACGATTTCCTGTCTTTCCTTCCCCAAAAATGTCGAACTTGATCCGTTTTAGAGGCGTCGCGCGTAGAAAATAGAACCGGCGCGTAAAGGCCGCGACATGCTGCTCCTGAGACGCGGCCGACTCGCGCTGCCGACGGCTCCAGTGGAAAAGGTTCTGTTGACCACAGCGGTTCCTATCAGCAGCTATGACGTGCTGCTGCAGTAACGTGCTGCTGACGGCTCCTGTGGAAAGCCGGGGTTAGATTGCACAAGTGGATCCAGACACACTACAACCTACAGAGAACCGAATTAAATAAAATACTCACGTTTTTACAAATTCTGTGTAAGCAGGAAAACACAATGCCTCATTAGTATTCACATCATAAATATGATTAAAATAAACATGACACTCAAGTATCAAGCTCATCTTTAAATGTAATTAGTAACTGTTTACTCATCTGTATGAAGTAACTCGTGCCAAATATTTGCAATATTTGTTCTGGGTTTTGCAAAATGCTGAGCGGACAAATCCAGGATTAGCAGATTCTAAATCATCTCTAAGAACTAAAATAAAAACATAAAAATGTCATTTTCCTTTTAATTTCTGGTCAGTTAGTAGTTGGACCCTGTGACCATTATACATCTACAGTAAAGATCATTTATCTTTTATCTCAAATGTAAGCAGATTTCAGGACTTTTTCATAACTCTATAAAAGAAATTAAAGCAAGCAGCAACAGATTTGCAGCATTTCAGTTTTATAAACCAGGTTATAACTTTTCTGATCTTTATGTGCTCATGGCAAAAATAAAAGTGCATTAAATAAATATGTCATCGGCTGAAATGACTGCTAGACGCTTCATGGGAAACAAAAAGAACCGGAGGAGAAAATTCAGTGTTGTTGCACCTTGTTTGCTTCGTTTAACTTAATCTTTAAACATTTTACTGATATTACAAACACAGACATGTGTTTTACCAGTATGGGTCACTAATTGAAAATAAACTCCAGTAAATGATTCCAGTCAGTTAATCAGTGCATTCCTAATATTTCCTGTCCTCAATTTTATTTCATGAAAACCTTCAACAACTTCTAGGAAACATAACTGATGAAAAAGAAATCTTCAAAGGTTTAAAATGAGATATGAAAAAGCTGTTGGGTTTAGAAGGAAGTGAAACAAGTTTTTTTTAACTAACTTCTTATTTATTTAAACTTCGTCTCCAGAGGAACTACCAACCTTAGACCTCTGTCCACAGATCATGAGGAAGAGGATGGAGCATGCGGAGCAGAGACAAGGGGGCTAGGAGATGGGGTCACATCATGTGGTCTGCATGCAGGAGCCAAACAGAAAAAGGAAACAAACAAACCAAAAAGGGGTAAACAAAGTAAATATAAGACTTGTTAACTATATAAAATAAGGAAACGAGCCAACAAAAACCAATATATTACACTTTAGGATTAAGGCTATATGAAAAGAAAAAAACTGAAGATAGGTTTTAAAAGAAAATTAAATACAACACAAAACAAACAAAACTGAGAAAATGCCACCATCTATTCAACCACATAAAGTGGTGTGTGTTTTGTGAATGTGTGTGTGTGTTTTGTCATTTTAGGACCTTTACATGGTCTGAAAATCTGATAGATAAAAACTAGGATCAAACACAAAAGCCCTAATTGTTGTTTTGTTATTTATACAACAGAAAAGTAAACAAAAAAGACAGAAACTGTGTGAAACATGTTAGAAGCAATAAACGGAAGATTTTCTGTATAATCTTTACTGTTTTCATATTTATGATGGATTTTTCCTCACTGCTTCATTTCATTAAAGTTTGCAGAAATGTTTAGTTGCACACGGCTCTATCTAAACCCCACCAAGCGTTTTAATCAGACTGAGACTCAGGCCGTGAGCCATTCCAGCACCATGAATCTGGTTTTTTTCCACCTTGATCATTTGCTACATTGTAAAATAAAAAGATAAATGTCACCAAAGCGTTGGCTGTCAGAAACGTGCCTTGATGGATAAACATTTAAAAAAATATGATGATTTGCTCCAGCCTCTTACCTGCGTCCTTGAGAATTACTAATCTGCTCCTTCATGCTGATAGCTTGACGAAGAAGGCTGTCGATGTTTTTGAAATACACACCGCTGTTTGTCATGCTCTTCATGGCACTGCAAAATCCAGACACAAGTGTAAAAGTTGAGAGATGAGGAAAAAGTGCAGGTTGGGCTTTTGTTCATATAAAATTTAAAAGTAGTCATCTTACCTGCATGCATATTCTACCGTGTAGATGGCTCCTTGGCTTTGCTCCTCCCAGCTCTGCATGTCTGTCTGTGTGAGAAATTAATGAGTTTATAAATCATTAAAAACATCCAGGAAAAAAAAGTTTAAATGACATTTAAATCGAATCATTGTACAGTTGTCTTTTTAAACATGATGTAGATAAAGCTGCAGTTCTGGTTTGTACTGAACAACAGAAACTCCAGGAGGCCTTTTATCTTTAGAGAAGAAATATCACTTTTAATGACTTTACTGATGACAGACATCTGTCGTTTGAATCTGTTTGCTTTCCTTTTACCATACTAACCTCATCTGTGCAAAAATGGTAACAATATTCTCTAAATACAAACAATAATCTCAGAACTAGTCAGACATTTCAACATGACAACTTTTTGTTAGCAAAGAACAAACAGGTGTTTCATTTGTTGGAGTCATTCTAACAGCAACAGCTAGACTCGAGCTCCAGGTGAAAACCTGATCAGTGGTGACAGAGACCATAAACGCCATGAGTGACAGGTGAGCTGACAGGATTAAAACAATCAAGGGCCCGATCACCTCCTTTAGTCTCTGTGTTTAACTCAGGTTGGACTCGGATTCAGACAGGATGACTAAATGAATCAAATTTCCCTCTTAATCAGGATGACAGGATGAGGAGCAGCTACCTTGTGCTGCACCAGTTCAGGAAGCGACCTCCTGACGTGCTCCTGCAGCCTGTAGAGAGCTACTGACGGCTCGTTAGCCAGGACGTACATACTCTCTGTGAATTTGTCACTCACTGTAGAGTCAAACAAACATAATCACAGACAAAATGAGCCCATGTTATGGAAGGCTAGGTAAATGTTGAAAACACCCTCAAAAATACCTCGAAATAATAGCATTAGCTTGGCATAATCTTCAGTGTTAAAGGATTATAACAGTAAAGGCGAGATGAGTTGTTTACATATTTATTTAGTTCATATTTACCACGCCGGACTTTTAGCTGCATCTCCTGATCATCCATAGTGCGAGCTGGTTTTCTTCGTCACCTGATTTCTACCACTTCCGTATTATTGTTGTTTTGCGTCACACGATAAGAGTCCGGGTAGAGATAATGAATATAAAATAAGGTTCCTCCTCTCATGAAAGAGTTCCAGATGCATGGTACGTAACACTGGCTGCTTATTCAGACCTATTAATGTGTCATTAGTGAACCAATTGGCTCGTTAAGTAGCTAATATAAAAACGGCGTGAACTATGGATTGAAAACACGCAAACAAGCCACAAGATTGATTGTGTAACGTGAAACTGTTTACTTTCAGTTTTCCATGAAGGAAATGCGACTGTCCCTGTGAAGCTGGATGCGGTAAGTGGGAATTATTCGTTTCATAAACTCACAGCGCTCCTAATCGTTGCTTCTATCGCAGTTATTATGGAGAGCGGGGGTGATGAAGAGGTAGCAAACGGACAACACATTCGGCCATCAGGCGCTGCTGAATGTTCCTCCATTGTAAAACCTGAGAACTCCAGTGGTACTGTATCCCTCCGAAGCAAGTTTTTTAAATATACATATGTATTACCTGTGTCTACGTCACACATGAAGTCAGCCTTTGGCGACTTAATGAAATACCCTGCCTTCACTGACATGATTGTTCTGATTGGTTCTGGACGGAGGTAGATGAAGATGACCTGTTCAAACATGCAACCACCCTGACCAACAAGCAGCGAGGGAATGAGGTCACAGTCCGGCCAGCGACACTAGACTGTACGCGCCCCTCTGGTTCTGCTTTTTACATCTTCATTTTCATTATCTGGACAATTTGAGGTTATTTTATCCTCTCGTCACCAACAGCTCTTTCCATACATCAGCTTGCAGCTCAGGGGGATGTTTCACAAGTGGCCACACACCTGCACAAAGGTGATACATTGTGTCCAAGTGGGGTTTTTTTTGTGGTTTATTTTGAAATCAGAGGTCCTGTTTCGTTATGCAGACAGTTCCCTGCTCAGCAAACAGGATGAACGAGGCTTTACACCTCTCATGTGGGCGGCAGCATTTGGAGAGAAAGCCATGGTTGACTTTCTCTTAGAGAAGGTGAGAAAAAAAGAGACATGCATTTTATTCAAATAAAACTCATCCTGTTCATTGAAGGTTATATTTGACAGGGTGCAGATCCTAAAACGATTGCAAGGGAGCGGGAGAGTGCCCTGACACTGGCCAGTTCTGGAGGGTTCGTGGACATTGTCGAGACCCTGCTCAAACACGGTGTTGATATTAACACCTACGACTGGGTAAAGTTGGGAATTTCTAGCCTTCGACCAAACTTGGGACAAAAAAAGTTACGTTTACATTGAAAGTAACTACAGTTTGACTTTTTATTTTACTGTTTTATTCTCAGAATGGTGGGACTCCTCTTCTTTATGCTGTAAGAGGGAACCACATCAAGTGTGTGGAGGCACTTCTGGGTATGGTATAGATTGTTAGTCATAAAAGGGTTTGGGGATTTTTTTAATGTCTTCATTCTGAGTAAGGTGATCTCTTTCAGCCAAAGGAGCAGACATGACCATCGAGTCGGACTCTGGGTACAGCCCAATGGCCTTAGCCGTTGCACTTGGACACAAAAAAAGTAGGTTTAAAGTTGATGTCACTGAAACACATGCTGGTCAGAGTTATTGGTAGAATATAGTAAATATATTATTTCTGAAAATAAACTATATATAATTATAACATATTGACAAACTAACCACATTTTAGTTGCTGTAAGGGAGTGATTGATTTGAGAATTTTAAATAAAAACATCCTAATGAATGCTTTGCTTAGTCATCTAGAAACGTATTGTATTAAGTTGATTAAGTCAGCATCAGTCCTTATTCCAGTGGGATTCTCATTTCTAAACACATTTTAAGACCCGGGACTCAAGTCTGATCAGGTTGAAACTCGTTTTCTAAGCGCGAAGTTCTATTCTGGCTACTTTAAAGTGTGACTGCAGTCACAGTTGTTAACTATGATAATGCTGGTGAATGTGTGTGTGCACACGTGTGCATGTGTGAATGGACTAATGACTGTTGGGTTATAGTTCCCTAGAAGGTGCTATATTAATACACTCCGTTTACCATTACTAGTCCCTTCCATTGTGAACACATTTCTCTTTATCTGGTTAATTAAATGGAATTCTATGGTTGTCTTCAAGCATGAATCCCACCAGCTGCAACAACATATAATTCCAGTCCATCCAGGAATGAAGAAGCGCTTTCTTTCTAAAATGAATGGTAGAGAAGATGTTTACTAAAAGAACGTTTGCCTAACAGCATTGTGGTTTAGTTTTTAGAATAACGTCTTCCAATAGAGGCTGTTCATGAATTGAGCTACAAAGCCTTAAAAGGATCATTGATTAACCCAGAATCACACTTCAGAAAGGCCAAATTAATCCCTTTAACTATTCTTTTATTTGAAATATTCACTTTCCCTGGCTGCTCTGCTGTAGAGGACAATAGACCCCTGCAATCAGACCTGGGGGGATTATAATGCATCCCTACAAAATGATTAGAACATCCTATGATATTGATTCAGTAACAGGCAGCAAAGCACAGGGTAGACCTAACCCGATGTTCTCCTATGTATTTAATTTGGCCTTATGTATTTAATTTGGCCTTATTTAAACAAATAATCACTGTATTGTTTGTTTGGTTTCACTTGTGGAGTCAACGTTGATTGAGTGTGTGGTAAAGCTGAAATGACATTTTCCTTTCGTTTGCACAAACTGGATCTTTGTAACTTATCTTTAAGGGACAGCAGTAGTTCAGGAAGTAGAGCAGGTTTTCCAGTAATCGGAAGGTTGCAGGTTTGATTCCGGCTACCAGAATGTGAAAGACTGATTTTGTTGTAAAGTGCCTTGGGTGGTTGACCAGCCCTAAGAAGGCGCTATACAAATACAGGCCATTTACCATCTTTTTTTTAAATAACACTTCTGATGCAGCGTCGTCGTGCCAAAAGGGTCTGACTGACGGCTTCCATAACTTTTACCACCGACAATGTATTCCACCCCCCATAGATCCTAATCTTTTACTTAAAGACAAATCTTTATTTTGTTCTTACACTGAAGAATATCAATAACTCTGACCAATATGTTTGCTTAAAACATCTGTAATATAACTATTGCTTTGAGAAATTAGGACTTTGTTTGTCTTGCAGTTCAGAAAGTGCTGGAGGACCATATCCTGAAACTGTACAAGCCGCCAACGTGACTATAACCAAAACACAATGCTTGCATCACAAAGTCACCAGCAGCCATCAGCGCTTGGTGAGATGGAAGAAGCTTTGTCACACTGAGAGGTTTTATCTGAACACTTTGCCATGTTTTATTGGATTTGTACACAAACGGCTAATCCCACCTAAACGCATACTTTTCATGCATCCCAATTATACAAAAACAAGGACAACAGTGGCATTTGTGTTTCAGATTTATTTTATTTGACTGTGAAGCGGTGAAGAACACTTCTGTAAACAAGTTTGTAATAAAGTTATTTTTTAATTGGCTGAGGGTTCATTTCCAAGGCACAACAGTCACGATCCACAGCAGTCGAGGCAGCCATTCGGACCAAAAAAGGCCTTCGCTCACAAGGTGGCACTACATCCTTCACCAGTGTCACCGCACCATCCCATACGTTACCCAGAGGTCACTTCCTCTCTCATGAGAAACGTTTTTAAAATGGTCATGAAGTTTTCTCTCCCAAGACGTCCAAGGAATAAACAATAATTCTCCCAAAAAAGTCTGCACTGTTCTCAAACAGTATTTTTACTCTGTTCACCGCAGGGGCCTCCTGTATGGGAAAGCTGTGGGTGTGGAGTTAAGAACATGATAAGGGTGGCAATAATGAAAAAGCAGTACCAGAAAAACTTCCCATGGGCCACCTAAAACCTCCGCAGGAAGTCCATAGTACCAACATGTCAGATTTCTGTAAGACCTTCAATATTAGGGTAAAAAAACAGTGAAACCATTACACATTAGCAGCTGAAAATGGTTGTCTAACGCTGTATATCGAAAGAAATAAACTTTCTTCCAATATATTTATATTGTTAAATCAGCTATGAGCTAACAACTTTAAGAAAAAAAAAGTAAAATGAAAAATGTTTGATCATTCTAATTTGTGCAATAGAATTCCTCCACATTTAAAGTAAGTGTTCAGGTGTGTCTTTGCTGAGAATAAAGGATATCTGAAGAGAGTTGTTGTCTTCGGGATAAAACCGACTAATTTCTGTGAAGTTTCCTTCTTTTAGGCAACCTGCAGAAAAAACGCAGACATTGTCCTCTGTTTAACGGTTTAAAAAAATAGTTCAATTTAAACAAACCACACACTGTGTGATTACTGTGTTTTACCTTCTATTCTGCATGCTTTAGCAGAAAAGCCTCCCTGGAATTGGAGTTTAACCTCTGACACCTGCACAGATCCAGGAAAGTCCAGCAGCACCCACTGACACGCACCCTGAAAAAGACGAGTTACTGTTTAATACTTCAAATGAAATAGGTGGAGCTCAATGAGCAGACTTACCGCATTTGATTTGAGCATGATTGGTTTTACATGAAACAAAACACACAAACTGGTGTGAGTATGCTGATGAGCTCTGTGGTCAACGACAACATGCTCTCTACGAGGCTGCTTTAGTACACTGACACACAAAAGCAACTGTAAATGTATTTATTATGCTACAGCAAGTAAATAGCAAAATAAACAATTAATTACTCAAAAACAGAATATCATCAGCTCCATAAAACACCACGTCAGTGATGTGAAACGAAGCTTTAAGACAGAAAAAGAACATCCATGTTTTTTTTTATTGTGTTCAAGTCTGAATCTAAACAAATGTAGAAAATTACGATGCCATGAATGTTGTGGCTGAGCTGGAGAGAATTGACCAATGTGACACCCAATAAGTGACCGAGTATCATAAAATACAGCATCAGTCATCACAGTACAAACAACACGGGGATTCCTGTACCAGAATGTTTCTTCTATCTTGTAATTTCTATTTTGTAATTTGTAATTTGAATTGCTTTTATTGTTGATTTATTCAATATATTTATCTACAACTGTACCATGTTCAGCGCTTTGGGCTTCCTGACAGGGTTGCGGAAGGCGCTTTATAAATAAAGCTTTGATTGATTGAAACATTAGATTTGATCTGAATAGTTTACCGTATTACCACGATCACTGTTTTTGTTTAAAAAAATAAGAAAGTTACATAGAAAATGTGCAGCGGTGTCCTGTAGAAGCAGAGGGACGTGTGGACCGTTTTTATTTAGTTTTACCTGATCTGAGTTCCAGCAGGTTTCCTCATTATTGTCGAACATGAACTTTTTACCAAACTGCTTTACATCCCGGTTAAGCACCGAACTCACTCTGAAACGACAATAACACACACACACACACCGGGCTCGTAAGCTGCCAGAGCTTCAACTAAAGCCGAACGATGGGAAAACAACAGTTTAAACAAATAAGTAGTTCACATTAAGATGCGTCGACCTGCTTTGAGTTAGGCTGCAAATCAACGAGTTAGCCATTTCGGTAGCGAGTTTTAAAACAACAAGTATACCGTAAAGTATTGCGGCCACGCAGGGTGGACTTTTTACGACATTGTCGTTTGTGTGTTTTCCTGCCACTAGATGGCAGAAATGTTCTTTTAATGTTTTTATTTATTTATTTTATTTTATTTTTTGCTGAAACTATTTTGACCAGATACAAACATTAGGAATCGATTGCTTTTGTAATGCATAACAATGTGGGGCATGGTAAACTCTGAAAGGTTGTTACTGTCATCATCAAACTAAAAAATACACACTAAACATTAAGTAAGTAGTAGAAATACTACTTTACCTTGTACTTCATCAAAAGTATTTCTGACCAAATGGTGTAAAATTTTACAAAGCAGACATGAAACATTAGCAAAAATCATGCAAACCATCATCAATCATCATTTCATGTAAAAACACTAAAACCAGAGAAAGGACTGAGTGGAAATGATAATGATGACATTTTGAAAATCTCATAGATAGATGACAGACAGACAGACAGACAGACAGACAGACAGATAGACAGATGATAGATAGATAGATAGATAGATAGATAGATGATAGATAGATAGATTTAATTGAGTCTGTGACTAAGGAGGGGATTTAATACCCTCCCAGGACATAGTCTGTGTTTTTGACCTCTTGGTAATATCAGTATTAAGAAGAAGGAGGAGGAAGAGAAGAGGTAACTACATTCATGCAGCCACAGTATTTACGTGGTAGAAACACTTCCTGTAGTGTTTTCAAAATAAATTGCTATGGTATTTTTGTGCTAGCAACAGGGGAACTCACTCTAACCATCTTTTTCTCTGTTCATTTAGCTGTTGAACTGCATCGTTGAGTGTTTTTTTTTTCTTCAGAAGGAAGAATCAATGGGAACCACAGTCTAAAGTAAAACTTTAGGTTACTGTCGTAACCCCGGTTCTCTGAGAAACATGAGTGAGATGTTTCACTATGGGATACGCCCCTCCGCGGATTCCTCAGAAGCACTTATCTCAATACGCCAATCCTGATTGGCCAGTGACCGTGAAGTACGCGTCCCCTGCTACTATAAGTAGCAAGCGTCCCAACACATGCACTATTCAAGATAAACACCTCTTCTCGCTTCGCCCAGCAAGAAGGGTTGTCTGGTGAGACATCTCAGTCATGTTACTCAGAGAACCGGGGTTACGATAGTAACCTAAAGTTCTCTTTCTTAACATTCGTTTCGATGTCTCACTATGGGATATGGAGACTCCCGTATTGCCAGACAGCTTATCCAGCGATCACCAACCTACAGGGATACGTCTTGGCCTGCCAAAGACCCCACACTCAGAATCGTGTGAGTCATTGCAGGGACCGAAACATCAAGCTTATAGAAGCGTGCAAATGCAAGTGGAGAAGCCCAACTTGCTGCAGCACAAATCTCCTGGATTGACAGCCCCCGAAAAAGGGCCCAAGAAGCAGACAGGCCCCTAGTAGAATGGGCCCTGAGCCCAACAGGTGCCTGAATGCCCTGACAGGAGTAAGCCATAGAAATAGCCTCCACAATCCAGTGGGAAAGCCGCTGCTTTGTGACGGGTTTCCCCTTACGAGGCCCACCCCATGACACAAAAAGCTGGTCCCCCCTGCGAAGGTTCTCCGTCCGATTCACATACTCCTTGAGCGCGCGAATCGGACACAGCTTGTGCCACTGCTCCTCCTCAGGAGAGGAGAAGGGTGGTGGGTAGAACTCTGTGAGGATAATAGGAGAAAAGGAGCCCACTGCCTTAGGCACAAAGGCAGGGTTGGGCTTCAAGGACACCTTCATGTCACCGGGTGCAAACTGGGTGCAGGATAGGTGCACAGAGAGAGCCTGTAAGTCACTAACTCGCTTTGCAGATACCAAAGCCAGGAGTAGCACCACCTTAAGAGACAGGATCTTAAGGTCCAGGCTGTGCATAGGTTCAAATGGAGGCCCGGAGAGGGCCAACAGCACCAAGGACAGATCCCATGAGGGCACCAAGGGTCGAGACACAGGTAGAAGCCTGCGCACGCCCCTCATGAAGCTACACACCAGGGGGTGTTGACCTGCCAATTTCTTCCCAAAACCCAAGTGTCGGGCGGAAATGGCTGCTAGGTACACTTTAATGGTGGAGAAAGCCTTCTTCCCATCCAACAAGTCTTGCAGGAAAGACAGAATGACGTTCACCGGTCATTGGAAGGGTGAGACCTCCCTACCCTGACACCAGGCTTCAAACACCCTCCATTTACAGTCATATAGGGACCTAGTGGAGGGGGCCCTAGCATTCTGAATGGTTCGAATGACTGCCTGGGGCAGTTCTGCTGACACTAGCCCGCACCCCTCAGGGGCCAGGCCCACAGGGCCAGCCGTTCTGGATGAGGGTGGAAGATCGAGCCTCCCGCTTGGGACACCAGGTCCCTGCGAAGCGGCAGTTTCCAAGGTTGGCCCTCCAGGAGCTGGAAAATGTCCGCCACCCAATGCATGGCTGGCCAGTATGGGGCCACCAGAATGAGAGTGTGGCGCTGGGTTCGTACCCTCAGCAAGGTGGGTGGTATCAGGGCCACTGGGGGAAAAACGTAAAGCAGTCCCCGTGGCCAGTCGTGCGCCAGCGCGTCCACGCCTAGTGGAGCGTCTCGGTCGCGCAGGGAGAAGAACAGAGGACACTGAGCATTCTCCTTGGAGGCAAAAAGATCCACTACGGCTGTGCCGAACCGGATCCAAATCTGTTCCAACACTGCTGGATGCAGGCTCCAATCCCCGTACAGGGGTGTCCCTCTGGACAACAGATCCGCCCCCCGATTCAGAACACCCGGGGCATGGGTGGCTCTGACTGAGAGGAGATGCCTGCTGCACCATAGGATCAGTCTGCGTGCCAGCGTGTGTAACCGCATGGAGTGCAGCCCCCCCTGGTGGTTTATATAAGCCACAGTCGTGGTGTTGTCTGTTCTCACTAGGACATGATGGCCGGAGAGAAAAGGCAGGAAGCGCCTCAGGGCCAGAAAGACCGCAAGGAGTTCCAGATAATTTGTGTGTCCCCCAGAGCTCTCTGCTCCACACACCCCTGACAGAGCGACCCTCCAGGAGCCCCCCCCCCCCCCCCCCCCCCAACCTGACAGGCTCGCATCTGTCGTGACCATTTTCCTCACGAGAACCAACCCCAAAGGCACCCCCTGTGCCAAGAGGGAGGGGTGACGCCAACAGCGGAGCGCCGCGACGCACGCTGCAGAGACCGTCACCCTGCGCGCTCTGTGGCGCACTGAAGAGAGACCCAGAGAAGCCACCCAGCGTTGAAAATCTCTCATGTGTAGACGGCTGAGTGGTACCACTGAAATAGCCGACGCCATGAGACCCAAAAGCCTGAGGCATAACGCAAACCGCACCGAACTGTGTAGGCGGAAGCGCGCCAGGCAGAGCGAGAGCGCGTTCACGCGCGGTGTCGAGAGATGGGCCGTGAACGCCCCTGAGTCCAGATTCAGACCTAGAAAGGTTATTTTCTGGGAGGGGAGTAAAGCGCTTTTCTGCCAGTTTATTCTGAAACCTAGACCACACAAGTGATGGATCACAACCAGCGTGTTTGACGCTGCCTCCTCTCTGGACCGTGCCAGCAGGAGCCAGTCATCTAAATATGTGGCCAGTCGAATGCCCCTCCCTCTCAGAGGGGCGATCGCCGCCTCCGTACACCTGACAAACACCCTCGGGCTCAGCGAGAGGCCGAATGGGAGCACGGTATATTCGTAACACACTCCCTGAAAGGCAAACCTCAGAAATTTCCTGTGTGGAGGGTACACGGGAATATGAAAGTATGCGTCCCTCAGGTCGATTGAGGTGAACCAGTCGTTCTGGTGAATCAGACGCAAAAGGGATGAGAGCGTGAGCATTTTGAATCTGTACTTTCTGAGGCATCGGTTCAGGGCCCTCAGATCCAGGATCGGGCGAATCCCGGTCCCTCCCCGTTTCGGGACCAGGAAGTACCTGGAGTAGAAACCGCTCTGAGACCGATCGGGAGGCACAATGCATATCGCTCCCTTCTCCAGCAGGGAGGAGATTTCTCCCTGAAGGATGTGAGCTGACGACCCCTGGGCGTGGGAGAACACTACGCCGGAGAATCGAGGAGGAACAGAAGCAAATTGGAGCCTGTAACCTCTCGAAATAGTTCTCAGCACCCAACGTGAAGCAGAAACCGCTGTCCATTCCTCCATGTGAGTGGAGAGCGGTGACACAGCCATTACACACGGAGCAGCAGCTTCCTCCAGAGGTTGTGGGGCAGCGGTGCTCGTGGCAACCACTGCGCATGCACGGGGGCTTTGTGCTTTGACGGCCCAGGCGTACGGGGACGACATGTGGCTGGCGGGTAAGTCCGCCAGGGGCCGCCCCCGCCTGGAACCGCTCATGGGTGACATTTTTATTGATTTGTGCTGCACCCTTGACATTCTGTCTGGATGCGGCAGCGAACTTTTTAATGCTCCTTGAGCGTGACATGTTTGTGAAAAACAATGTGAGTGCTTGTGACGTGTGTTTTGAGCCGGCACAGCCGGTTGCACGTCCTGGCCCTACCCCGGACCGCTCGGGGACTCTGCCGGAGGGGTTCCGTGAGGGGGTGGGGGGGTGGGGGGGGGGGAGAGCAAGCACCATGGCAACATCGAACAGGAGGAGCTGGAGAACGGGGAACTGCCAGCTGCAGCGTCGGGAGGGAAAGAACTCCGTCAGGCTGCCCTCTTCTTCTTCCTCACCTGCTGACCGCCGGGTCGGGTGGGTTGTCCCGACGGCGGAGCGGCTTGGTTGCCGGACCTCTGAGGCCAAACTGGTCGAGGCGCTGAGCCCGAAGGAGCTGGTTGGACAGCTTGAGGCTTCGGGCGCTTTGGGATCCGGAACTGAGGCTGGGCTCGTGCAGCTGCCTGAGGAAGGTTCGGCCGAGCCGGCAGCGCCGGTGAGGGCTTACGGGGAAGACAGAGATGAGGGGCTTCATCCTCTTTCTTTTTGGCCTCACACCATTGCTGCATTGATGCCAGGGCAGAGCCAAAAATGCCTTCAGGCACGATTGGCATGTCCAAAATGTCCTCCTTCTCTCTATCAGAGAGGTT